TTAAGTAAACTAAAATAAAGTGCCTAATTTTTAGGAAAGGAAATAAAAAGTGTAGCTTGAAGTGATGAAGTGCAGTCTAACACTCAACACATCATAACAACTGAACAGCTGTAATTCTTTCTCTTCTTTCATTCCCTCTTACTACCACTTTCCTACTTTCTCTTCTTCAGTGAGAAACGTGAGCTCTAGTTGGTCCTGCCAGCTCGCATTGGAGATCTATGAGATATTCTGGTTCTGAGCTGTCCGTGGGAGGAATGTACATGTGAGAATCTGTACATTCTTCATTAAAAGCCAAGTGAAATCTATTTTCCCCTTTCGTCTCCTCATTTCATGTGTGTTTCCAAAACGAAGTCTTGAAACATGAATTTTGTGGACTCGACTTGCAAGCATTGGGATGCACAGATTTGATTGGCTGAGCAGCGTCACATGAGACGATTGGAGCACATGCGATTGGTCTGTGAATTTCCTGGTCCACTAAACCAGTACAGTAAATGCTAGAGAAGCTGCGTGGGTTAAAATAGAAACGCTCCGTCACGTAGTAAGTCTTAATAATAAATCTGCTGAAAATACTCCCCAGCAAATACACTATTTCCTCCTGTTTGTTTGTTTGTTAAAAACTACATTAAGCAGCAAATTACTAACTCTTTTAAGATTTACGTCTTCACTAGGAGCCAATGGGCTTGGTGCTGAGAGCCGCAGACAGTATTGAGAAACTAACAGCAACACTAACCTCAAGTATTACTAGAGTTATTGAGAAACTAACAGCAACACTAACCTCAAGTATTACTAGAGTTATTGAGAAACTAACAGCAACACTAACCTCAAGTATTACTAGAGTTATTGAGAAACTAACAGCAACACTAACCTCAAGTATTACTAGAGTTATTGAGAAACTAACAGCAACACTAACCTCAAGTATTACTAGAGTTATTGAGAAACTAACAGCAACACTAACCTCAAGTATTACTAGAGTTATTGAGAAACTAACAGCAACACTAACCTCAAGTATTACTAGAGTTATTGAGAAACTAACAGCAACACTAACCTCAAGTATTATTATTGAGACAACAGGACCAACGTCGAATCAAATGTAGAAATTTTGCTTAAAGGCTGAAAATTTGTAGGGAACCTTTAATTTGTTCAAATAAATCTTATTTTGGCAATTTGTGTCTGTAACATCTGAGTGAGATGAATGAAGCAGTGGGTGCTGATCTGTTTCCAGCATCAGGATCTCTGCCTACATTCCTGTGTAGCCACCACAGGATCAGGCTGTGAGGAAGCTGTGAATCATTTTCTGGGTGATTTAAAATTTTTTGGAAACGAGTATGTATCTATGTACATTATCTTAACATTGCATAACTTCAGATGAGTTCTGTGCAGCGTTCATGCAAACAGCCACGTTTTGCTGCGATTCATTACTCGTACTGGTTGAGAAGCGACTCTGAAGCCAAAAACACAAACCGCTCAGCAGTATTTCGGTGCGGTGATCCCGCTCGGTCCCCACCCTGTGCCAGACTTTTGAAGCCGCTCTCCAAGAGTTTGGGCCGGGCGCCAAATCCGACTGCAATGTTCAAAATGTGGAATGAGAAAAATGTCTCAGCTGTCACATAAATTAACGATTTATATCATTTCTCATGAGAACATTGGATCCAGCTCTGTGATGTTGGCACTGTGCAGGACTTTTTATATTTGAGGTTAATCCTGCTGGGATCAAGTATCTTATTCCACAGTGCAAATTATGTGTTAAGCCTTCATTTGAGTCTGAAAACATTGCTACCAGTGAAGAGTGCACTTTTATTTGTTTTAAAAATGTTAAAATAAGATGAACTCCAATGACTCGAGCAAACAAAGAGACTTTGTACCTGAAACCATCAATATTATCTCACCTGACCTGGATGTTTGTGCTTGCGTTGAAATCACATGTTGGCTCTCAACAGAAGCTCAGATTTGCGTGTTAAGGTTTCTGTTCTCTGCAGTGTGCTCTGCAGGGAGGCTTGGCCCGGCGTTGTCATGCTTTCATTAGCAGCTGATTTGGCCATCGTGTGACATTTAACCGACCCTGCTGTGCAGTGGAGAGATTATCAGCCTCCTCAGGTGTCAGTAATGTGATCCAGGCTGTCGTCAACACATTCCTGTTGACCACAAGCTCTCCGCATCCAGCTTTCACAGTGAAAGGGATTTTCATTGACATTTATTCATTTAGCAGATGCTTTTAAAATATGTTGTATATGTATGTATTTTCACCATCCAACCTTTCGAGTGGTGTCTTCCAGGCAGGGAGTTTTAATGTTTCTTAGAGGAGGTTGGGGAATGTTATGGACGTTTGAAACTGGGCATATTTCCAGGAAGGTGCAGGTGCAGAACATGTTTTCTGACTTGATTCACAAGTTTGTTGCAGCAGCTCAACCAGAGCAGAAACCAAAACAAACTAGTAAAGAAGTGTTCAGGACTGCCTATATCAATATCACATCATTTGTGAAAATCACAATGTGAAAATGCTTCATTACTGCCAAAAATAAAAATTAAACATTCATACTCAACTTGATCATGTTGAACAAACTGCTGGTTACAGTTTGTCTGCTTTTTTTTTTTTTTTTAAGTTTCTTATTATAAACTTTTTTTTTTATTGTTTATTGGATAAAATTAGTAATTAAATGGTACCACTTAGGGATCTGGTGATGCAAAGTTGTCTTTTTTTTTCTTAAATTGAATTAATTAATCAAACAATCTATCAATAACAAATTTGTGTTTGCAGCCATAAAAGCTAAAGCTGCTACTAATTATTATTTTTATGATCTGAGAATCTGTCTTATTTTTTTCAATTAACTGTTTTTGGCCATAAAATGTCAGAAAATAACGAACAAATATAAAATATAATTTTTGTGTTCTATAAGTCTTAAAACAACCACAACCAGAAAGCATTTTTACTTTAATTAAGGACACTAAAAAGGTTGATTTGTTTCCCTGCGTGGTTTTAACTGAATTGAACATAAAGACACGAGTGAACAAACAAACCTGCTGTGTTGCGTTTGACTCGCGGTGCATTATTCTCTGTGTCGGAGGTGTCAGCGGCTGAAAACACAGAGGTGTCACATCAGCAGTTAGTTAAGGAGGAATGTTCCTTCCTGCTTTCAGCGTGAGTGTCGGCCATCTGTCGTCCTGCGTGGCCGTCTGAAGACAAACGGGAGTCTGAGTTTCTTCTGAACACTTTAATGACCACATGCTGGGGCAGTTGTTTTCTTCTCCACTGTTCACACCAGCTCAGGCATTTTGTTGACCAGTTGATGTCCGTGCTTCACAACATCTGCCATTTGGTGGACGTGTCTGCACAAAAGTTTTCTCAAAGTAACGTGTATTTTTAGTTTAGGAGAACATTGTTGGAGTTGAACTGCTGCCTCACTCTACTCAACTCTGGGGTGGTTGGGTACAAATGTTAGCTTGTTAATAAATCAATACTTGGTGATTCAATTTATGTTTTAGTGTCCAAATGTATTCTTAGTTATTTTTTAACTTTTACGCTACAATTTAAATGTGTGTTGACCATGACCAACAGCATGATCAACTGCTGATTATAATAATTATTGAGTAAACTGCCAATCAATTTGTTGGTGTTTGGTCTGTAAAATGTCCAGTGCAAAGTGTCCAGAGCCCGAGGTAACATCTTAAAATTGCTTGTTATGTTTAACAGTCCAGAACCTCTCTGCTGTAGTGAAATATCCAGAAATGTTGACTGTTTTAGTTTGTAAGTCTAGTAACAATGTGCAGTTTATTTTCAGCTATCTTAAATAGTTTATTTATCTAATATTCATCTTGACAGCTGACTACAGTGTGGAAACGGACACATGCTAACACTGTCTGCTCATACTGATGTGTGTCAGTAGAAGCATGTGCTGGACCTCTGATGATTGTCCTCCATTCATCCAGTGGTGAGAACTCTTTTATGTTGTCTCCCGCTGCTGCCTTTCACCGAGAGATCAGAGGTCACGGTTCAGGGTCGGCCGCAGAGTGGCGCCGCTGGAGCTGGTGGTGTCTCGCTCAAGCTCACATGAGGTCACGGGTCTTGAAGGTGGGATCCCTCCGGTCCAGAATGCTCCAGGTTTTATTAGTCCTGCTGGATGGATTTATTAAATATGTAGACAGTGACAGTTCTTATGTTATTTGATTGGAATCTGCTCTGTTGGTGTAGTAAAATCAGCTTTAGAGATCTTCGCTTTATGTCTTTTTGAATAGTTGTTGAATATTTTTTTAAATGAAGTGGATGTTAATGAGGTTGCACTGATGCTGAATAAATAAAAGATGTTGAATTTTGGATATTAGCAGTGTCCCGGCAAAAATATCGGAGCCAGAAAGCAAGTTTTCTCTTATAACTGTTACATTTTTAATCACGTCAGTTTGGTAATTTTTGTAAACCTTATGATGTATTTGTTATCTCCGTTGGTGGTGGTTAAAGGCTACACATTTAGAAATGTAGAGATGCTAGATATAGTTAGGGTTTGCTCTAACATTGGGGTGAAGCTAAATAGTTGATGGTGATGAATGTGACAGATGAGGGATCAAACCAGCGAGCATCTGTGTGCGGGACGGTAGGCTTGCCCGTCTGTATTCAGAGCTGTCCCGTTGATCCTGAGGTGAGGTGTGGTGAGGTGGCAGGACGGTGTCAGTACGAAGAGTCAATATGTCCATGTTGACTCAGCAGCTCTGTTTGCTCTCAAACCTGAATGGATAATAACAGAGCCGACTTTCACCGAAACTCTGCTGAAATAAACTGTCTCAGTATCGTTTACTCTCGAATATACACAGTTCTTGTCGTCTTCTTCCTCCCTGTGCAGTACTGCACTCAGGGCAGATTAATTTTATACAATGCATTAACGCTGTCAATAAAACCAAAAACAACCTACTGAAAGCACAGACATGCTTTGTGAAGCTGAGGGAGTTTTATCTCTCTTTATGCCTACCTTGGTGTCCCCTCTCAGTGTGTTATGTCTCCATCTGTCCCTCAGGTCTGGACGACAGCCTGCAGCCGTACATCTCGTCCTTCCACCAACAGCAGGTGGACGGGGAGAAGCTGCTCAGGATGTCCCACCAGGAGCTGCTGTCTCTGGGCGTGTTGCGGGTCGGACACCAGGAGCTGGTGCTGGAGGCCGTGGATCTGCTCTGCGCTCTGGTCAGTAACTCCTCACAGCATCCTTCCCATCACTGTCGGGGTCTTTCCTCAGCATGAATATTAGTGAAGTGACGCACTGAATTTCACTTTTTATTATGCTTGTTCAACTTCATGTTTGTTTTTTTAAATTTCAAACAAATGTTTTTGATATTGAAAACAGGGTAAGAATAATTAATTCCTCCTATTATTGTTTTGTTGTTTTCCTCCTTTAATTCAGGATAATCATACTCTCATTTTGAGCTACAGTACCCATAATGCTTTGGGACATGAAACCAGGAAGTATAATGTTGCTCTGGAGCCCATGAATGAGCTGTGGGCCCATATGACTAAAATCTTCTGTCATGGCAGGGCTCAACAATAACGGTGGCCTGATGGCCCGGGGACAAAAAAAAGTAACGTCGGGAAAAAATAAATTAGAAACTCAACATTCTGCAGTTGCTTTGCTGCTCTTGGCGTGCACCGTTGTCCTATCCAGATTTGTAGTTATATGATGTTCATTGAGTAAATTATGGTCCAATTTACGGGACAATAGACGATAATGCAGAGTATGCTTTTGTGCAGGACTACCAGCGCGACTGGTGTCCGCTGCTCTGTGTACATTTTTTTATTAAATGGCTGTGAGCAGGAGAGGGAGCATGTCATGTTTGACTCTGTTAAGTAAATTGTTATATTAACTATTCACTTTTATTAACTGATTACATTTTAGTTTTTTTTTATATCCAGGATGTATTTAATAAACAATTAAACATGTTAACAGTATAACATAATTTATAAGTCTTTGGTTTTGTTGTAACACTGATAAATAACTTTTGGAAGAAGGGCCATTAAGTTTCAAACCGACTGGCCCAATGGTGCAGCGGTTGGCAAACCAGCTTAGAGATGCATTTACATCACCAACTGTCGCTCTCACGTCACGTGAGAATGTGATAATCATCCCTGCTGCCCAAATCACGTTACCTTGTGAGGCAGCTGGTTTCCGAGATCACACGTCGGACTAATTTCTGACAGGTCGGACGAAATTTTGGTCGGCCGTCGTCAGGCTGTCCCACAGCTGAAACAGAACCACGAATCGATTCCCCATGATCACCGCCTTTTTCTCTCTCAGCGCCTGCACAAAGTGGCAAACTGCATCTGAAAGTGCCATGGCAGCATGCCTGGCTATCAAGTTAACAACCTATACATCAAAACATAGCTAGCTTACCTCCATTTTTCTCTGACAAGCCAGACTGTCCACGTCTTCCTAGTTCATAAACACTGGCGCCTTTTCTTTTTAGAAGTGTCGGTACACAGGTCAGAAAAGTCTGCAGCGGCCAATGGGCCTTTTTATACACGTAAAGTGTGAACACCCAAGTTGTGAGCTTTGGCTTTACATCACAGACGGTTTACTCATACAGTGTGAGTTGGCATTAAACGATATATATCATCATATCGCCCAAACCTATGGCCCATGAAGTTGCTTCATGTCTGTCACATGGTCTGATAGCTGTGGTTTGTACTGGGCCTGGTTCTCATGCCAGAGAATGTGCTGATGTAAATATAATGCACTCTGTTAAATCTTTATCAGATGTGGCAACATGCCCACACTGCTGGGTTTGATACTTCTACAGTGCAAAAAAAAATAAAAATGCAGCAATGGTTTCTGCAGAAAATGTATTTTATTTGTTAGAAAGAATGTTTCTTTGCTCTTAAGAAACATGCATTTAACATGTTTAATTGTTCAAATTGAAATTAAGTTATCTTGAAAGTCTCTAGATGTTCTTCTTCAAACTTGATTTTTGTGTGAAACAGTGAAAAGACTCGAACTACAATCCCTTAAACCAACTAAATTACCTGAAAACACAAGTCTATCAAAGATTGTCTTTAAACATCAGAAGAAATTGAAACATAACCATATTTTAGATGTGAAATTAGGGTTTTCTCATAATGCCTTCACATTTTTCAAATGTTCAAATTTAATTTTTTTTTTTAACTCAGCTGAAGCCAACCGACCAAGACAAGAGCAGAATGTTTCTTTCAACCAACAACGTTCTTGTTTATAACAAAGTATTGAACTGCAGACAGAGCTCCTCCGTCAGCTGTTTATGAGCTCTGACTGTGTCACAGTGAAAAGGAGGATTTACAGTCAGTGCTGAGGTTTAATGGTGTAACTGAGCTGAATGGGATCCAGCAGCGTTTTTAACGGGAGCCTGACACTGCTGACAAACAGTGAAAATAAAAGGACCACAGCAGCGAGACAGTTATCAGACACAATAGTAACTACTGTTTAAAGTTGTGTTACTGAAGTTTGTTAAATCTTTTATTTGTATTTCCAACGATATTTGACAACTTGATGGTGATGTTTATTTCAAGATATTTGTTTATAACAAGAGAAAATTGCTTTAAAATAAAAAATTTTAAACGCCCAAAAGAATCTGGACACTTTGAGCAGATTACTTCAGGGAATCAGGATCATACAATTACTGCTTTGGAAACAGTGATTATTACTATCAACATTTCAAGGAAAAATATTCATTTAAGTTGTAAGACTGAATAATGGTTAAGAAGGACATTTTTTGCAGTGTGGGATTTGGCCAAAAGCTTTATCGGTAAGTGAAAAATGTGCTAATGGGGGTGAGATATGTTTGAGGCTGATATGACTCAGTTCAACTCAAACTAACTGTCTGACTGTGTGTGTAGACAGAGAGACTGAACTTCTGGTACCAGCTGGTCTAGCCTCGGTGTCCGCATTTCTCTTTAGTCATTAAGGAGGGTGGGAACTAAGCTGTGTCTCATTACAGATACTTGGTTAGGCTCATACACTTCTGTGGAGATCAATGATGAAATCAGTTGCCCAAAAATTAACTGGAGTGAAGTGAACTGTAAAGTTAGCAACATCAGCAATGGTATTAACACCTTCTCGACCTAAAGCCTCCAAAATGTTGGAGCATTTCACTCTTCACTCTTGAGATACTCTGTCACTAGATGAATGATACGCATTGTTAACAGCAGATCAGCTGCACAGATGAGTGCCACGCACACCGTAATGCACACTGTTATTTCTTACTGTGTATATATGTGTCTGGTCCATGGCAGGTCTTGATTTCAGTGGAACACTCTGCTGTATGTTTGAATGCAGTATTCATTTAGTATAGCTGAAAGCTAAATAAGAGGCATTGTGTAATTTTGCGATTCATAATCTGAATAGTTTTTTATTATTTGTGTCATTAAGAGATAAATTATAGAAGAAGATGAAGAAGATATACTTTCGGATATCAATCTCAAATCGAACACTTACCGGAAAAGACGATCGCAACATTTGACAGATGCATCTTCATCTTCTTCTTTTAATGGCGCATTGCAGGCAGAGCACTATTTTCAATAACAACAATTATAAAAATTTATCTGCTTTTACTTTGCTTTACTTTAGCAATCGCAACCACTGCAGCTTCCTTAGCTGCCATTTTCACAAGTTTGAAAATAGGCTGGAGGCAAGACGGCGACTAGTGAGGGTGAGAAGTGTTCAGCGTTCTACACTCAACTTTTGGATTTTTATGCATACACCATTTCCTTTTAGTGCACTGCATTTTGCCGTAACGGTCAGTCTAAACACACTTAGTTATTCAAAATAGCAAATGTCAAGTAAAGAAGGCAAATTGAGACACAGCATTTTAAGTACACATTGAGCAGGAGGCGAGGTCCACCTGGGAGAGTTCAGAGTTTAACTTCACTCAACCTGCATGTGGGACTGTAGGAGGAAACCCACACTGACAGGGTCGGACATCAAAACTCCATATGTTCTGCCAAAGAGACCAGTTTTGGCTATTTATTTCACATGAGAGATTTCTGTTTGATTCTAAATGTGACTTTGAAACATTAACTTAACATTAACTTGTTGCATTTTGAGTGAGTATTTTATGTTGTTGAAAACAACTTGAGGCTTGAAACAAAGTTTTTACCTTTTCACCTTTCTCCTGTTCTTTTGCGTGCTCTCTCTCCTTCCTTTTGTATTGTTTCTATTTTGTACGAGCCTGTTAAATAACATTTAAACATCTGTATCTTTAAATACATTTTTATAGAAACATATTACATTTCATTTAGCTGATGCTTTTATCCAAAGCGACTTACAAATGCTATTTATGTCAAAGGTCGCACGCCTTGGAGCAACAAGGGGTTACGTGTCTTTGTTAGGGACACATCGGTGGATGTGTCACAGTGGAGAATTGAACCTGGGTCTCTCACACCATAGGCATGTGTCTTATCCACTGCTCCATCACCACCCCCACCAGTCCACCAAAGCTGGGCAGCTCCCCTCACATGTCCAACCCTGGTTGGGATGAGGGTCGGGAAGGAGACTTTGCTGGTTCTCGTTGACTCCTGACCCCAGTTACTCATCCATGACAAAATATGCAAACATCAAGGTTCACTTACTAGCTTTTTCCAGGGCTTTTGTCCACAAGACCCAAGTACAGAACTTTGAGACAACAAGCGGGCGGAGGGAGATCTGGTCCCCGCTCAAAGGGCCCTTACTGTTGATGTTTTTGATCCCTGAAACATTTTACTAACTCTCTGGAAATAACTGGACATGTCCTCGCACTGAAGAAAGACACACTAAAACAACTAAAGAGTCATGAAATCACACAGCCTCTGGGTTAGTTTTCCTGTAAGACTGAATTGAAGGTCAAGTGATGTGTTGTAGGTATTTTTTGAGTTTACTGCTCTCTGGCGTGGAGCAGGAAACAGATGTGACCCCTCCCACCTGTCAGAAAGACCCCCCACCCTTCCCCTGACACACACACACACACACACACACACACACACACACACACACACACACACACACACACACACACACACACACACACACACACACACACACAGTGTACAGCCTGTAGAGGAAGAGCCGTTGCATTTTTGTTCCAGCAGCAGTTTCCGTTGGCAGAGACTCAGCAGAGCTTTTCTCTGTTCTAACTTTTTCCATTCAAACACCATCAGTGTGAAAAGAGCATCATCATGCTGTTCAGAGTGGTATAACATGTATCTGAGGGCCCCTTGTATTGTTATTAACTTATTTAACATGAGATAAATAAATCTCCTGTTCGCGTATGACGACGGTGCTTTGTGAAAGCTTATTAGTGTTACAAGCCGGACTAAGTTATCTACAATTCAGCGCAGCAGGTTTTTTCAAAACAATCAAGAGGCTGATCAATGAAATAATCATTATTTGTTAAATCTTAATTGTTAATTTGAATCTTTTAGTTTACTAAAGCGAGACTTGTGTGTGTGTGTGTGTGTGTGTGTGTGTGTTTGGTCAGATTAACAGACTGATGCTGCTTGTTTCACTCTAAGAGAGTCTTCAATATATTCACTCTTTTTTTCGATTGATCTGTTACTTTCACGGTGCTTCACTTCTAACACAATTTGAAAGTTAACTTGAAGCTTGATTTGAACGTGTCGTGTTTCGTTAAGGTGTATTTATTTTTTTCTACAATGCAGACGGTTGACAGGTGGAATGTCAGTTTGGCTCCAGATGTTTTTATTGGCTCTGAGCTTCACAACGCCTCAAACATCTGAGCTGCCTCGGGCGAGCCAGCGTGTTCGCACCGTCAGCTGACAGAATCAATTACAGATCTGTGTGAGACCAAGTGGAACAAGTACTTTGTAGTGTGGAAACACTCATCCAAAAGTTTGGAAAAAATGTGTCCATGTTGGGTCCTCTTAGACCCCTGGTGTCTCTACAGTTCTGACATTCGTTGATTGACTGACTGATACTTTCAAGTAAATCTTCAGGAAAGCGAGAGATGTTCCAGCAGCATGGCTCTTATTTTTTTTTTTATTTTTTTTGATTTTCATCATCGTTCCTGTTGACCGACACCAGCTCAATACTTTGGGTTTGGATTTGATTTGAGTGAGGGTGACGTGTTGTGGAATTGTGTTTTTTTTCTTTTTCTTCAGATCATTGGCATGGTGGCTCGTTTGTAGGAATGTGTGTGTGTGTGTGTGTGTGTGTGTGTGTGTGTTTGGATGGTGAATTGAGGGGGAGGGAATGACGTTCATCAGAGGTCATGAGAATTCCTCTGTATGATGTGAAGGTTGTGGTTTGTGTTTTCTTGACCCAAGCTCGTTGAGAACATTGGTTCTTTGAATATTTCTAAAGGTTCTAAAATCTCTGTTTGCTTAATCTGGTTAATCTTGCCTCGGAGGTCTGAGTCAGTTGGAGCCTGTCTTTGTTTTTTTGGCCTCAGAATGATGCATCACAGTAGCCTTATCTGCTTGAAATGAAGGCATGAATCCAATTTTTACTCTGGCTCTAGAAGACAATATTAGAACTACAAACGAGGCCATCCATATGCTGAGTTTTAGCCTCTCACCACCTCTACCTATCTGTGTTTTACACTGTAATATATGGATCGGCTTTAGAGGGAGATTTCCAACATGTTCATCCTCAACAGGGAAGGGTGTAGTGATAACAGGGGTGATGGTAAATGTGGTCTTTGGAGAACTTATAACACCACTATTACAAGATAGAGAATTAAGGCAGCAACATTAATTTCACAGCTTCTAATACTTCTACAAAGTGCATCTTTAACATATAAGATTCCTGTATATTATGCATAAGATGTAAACTCTGTCTTTTTTGTATTTTGGGCAGAACTACGGCGTGGAGTCGGACAACCTGAAGACTCTGGTGGGGAAGATGAGAGCGGCTCACCACAACCTGAGCAGCGCAGTGACGCAGCGAAGGAAGAACCCGGCCTACCACAACAAAATCTCCCATCAGCCCTCCAATGAATTCCTGACCGCCGTGGTTGAGCTGATCGGAGCGGCCAAGAGTCTGCTTGGCCAGCTGGACAGGTGAACACAGACACATTCAGTACATACAATACATATAATATACATAGGAAGGAAACACTCTCTCATGCACATATCTTATTCAAATGTGTTTTTAGTAGGTTGTCGCAAATATATAATTCCAATTTTATTAAATGTGTTAATCCATAACTGGGCAGCCACTCAACCTGATCTTCTGTTTTGGTTATATGAACTTGTGGATTTAATTAACAACCTTTTTAAGACACCCAGTAATGCAGACTGCCAACTCCCACGAGTCTACGCACTGTTTCTTTAGGAGTTAAATTAGTTTGTGAGCTTCTCAAATGTGCTTATTCACTTTGTCGCAGAGAGTTAGATAATGAGATTGATACCACTCTGCATGATAAATATGAAGATACAACCAGCAGCCGGTTAACTTATCTTAACACATAGACGTCTTAGTCTGGTGTCTTTTAAAGCGACAATAGTTTTCTGCAGGTACACATCAGGAGTGTGCAAGAGAGAAACACAGGACAATTGTGTTGTTTTCATTTTATTAGTTTTTTTTATATTGAATTATTTTAGGTACATTATTTATTTGTACAAATAAGAAAACATAATGCAGTAAAGAAGTAAAAAGGATTGTGCTGGTGAAACTTCAAAGGGCTTATAAAGACATCTCAACGAAAAAGGAAGAAAAAAAATTTGCATCTCAAAATGTATCGGGGAAGAATTTACAAGTTGACTTTCTATAGAAAATACCAGATTTGTGTGATGTCAGTCTGTGTGAGTTTTATGGTTCTCTAGGTCTCACTGTCTCTCACACAGTTATTAGCGCTGGCCCGTGTTCACGTGTGCGTCCGTCTGCCTGCTGTTTGACTCCTTCAGTTTTTTTTCTCCGCTTGTTTCAGCTTGAAGAGCATTCCAGCTCACTGCAGCTGTTACACAAAAACACCTGACAAGTTGATGCACTGACGCCCATAACACACCTGACATCTGTCGCGTGTCTGATCACCCACACACACTTCAATAGCATTTTATTGAATCTGAATCGGGTATTGAGTCCAAGTTAGTTATTAGTCTGATTAGGTCCAGCTTTTAACATTTGTGAGTTCAGTATTGTAGATAAGATTAAGACCTTTTCATGGCCAAGAAGGCTCCGCAGTTTTTTTGTTTATTTTTTCCACTTTTGCACATCTGGGTGTTTAAATACTGGCAAATACATTCAGCAGCCTTGGAGCGTTGTGAATCTGGCAATTTTGTCCCAACCATACAAACTCTTGACAGTACCGGTAGGGTTCTTGGTTTTACTACAGGTTACCACACTGTAACATTACCAACATCCTCTCTCTCCAGGACTCCTCTGACCAGCGGCAACAACTTTACCTCCACCAAAAGCAGAATCATCCAACTGTGCTTAGAGCTCACCTCCACCGTCCAGAAGGTTAGTGTCAGTGTCAGTGAGGCTCAAACATCTCTCTGTTCTCCTCAGTGAGGCCACTGTTCAGACAGAAAATTATCAGATGCTGTCTGTGTGAAGATGCTTGTCAGATTTGTGACCACTGGGACTGTTTCTTCTCAGGCTTTGATTATGATCATGATGATCAACCAGATAACTTCTGGCACATGTACAAAGTCCTTTTGATGATGAATCTCTTTCAGATATCAGTGTTGCCAAAACAAGCGAGGAGAAGAGAGAGGTTTTATATTTTAACTAATTAGTCTTATGTTTTTGTACTTTTAGATAACATTTCTTTTGAATTTAAGAAAATGTCTTATGCATCATTTTATACACATTTTCCTTAAATTCATCCTGACACATTTAGTATCTTTGGAAACTCTGAGATCTCCGCTAAAATTTAAATCAAAGATGCTCAGATGAGACACAACCAGTTCAAGGGGCAGTGGGGAAAGTCAAATCGTGTCCAGATAACACGTATTTAAATTAGCACAAACAAAATATCTTTTGTTCCTGTTCGCATTCCATCACGACGTCCTGCTGACATGCATGTACATGAAAGCAGACTGAGGCTGCTGTAGAAAAGATACAGTTTATGAGATGCTGTCATTATTTTCAGTTTTTTTTATTGTCAACAAATCCTATAAAAAGTCTAAAACCAACAACGTAGTAATCTGTCTCTCAATACTTCTGGACTCTGGAAACAGGAGGAAATAGTGCATTTGTTGGGCACTATTTTCAGCAGTGGATGAATCCACACGTGGTGCTGTTAAATAAAAAGATGTAATGTTAACTTTTTGTTTCACACGGGAAACAAACACTAGCCCACCTGTCCATCTCCTTACTCTGACTTTTGTGTTAAATATCCTACACCTCCCTGTAGTGTTAATAAACAATGCTGCAGGGTTTCCCCCACTGCGTTCAAACTATGACATAAGAGGCTCCCCAGTGTGTTTCAAACTGATGCCAACGTGTCTTGACCATATGTCCATATGTGGCGACTCAGGAGTGACATTAAGTAACTTCATGTGGTTACATTGTCTGAACTTGGCAGTAAAAACAACGGTTTTCATGAGATTTTCTTTTTGTTTAGCCTTATAAGTGGAGAGGTGTGATTATTTAACTTGGCATAAAATACTGTTTTGAGTTTGTATAAACCTTGGAAAAAACTTTGGAAAGTAGGTTTTAGGATTCACAGTTGTGGCTGTGCAGTTGGATTTTGTCTTTTTTTTTTTTTTGCATGTTGTCACCTCCCCACATGTGACTTGTGCAGAGTTTTGTGCAGCGTTGAGGCGTCGCCCCGCCGCGCTGTCATGCAATCATCCTGTCAGCCCGTTTACAGGGAGCTGTTATTTCACCGACCACAGGAGGAATCCTCTCAGTGTCTCTGGGAGGCGTTCGCGGTCCCTCCCTCTGGTTTCACTCTCCTGTAGGCTGTCATTTCTCAAATATTTGTTTTCCCGCTGATTCCCCCCTTTATTTTTTTTTTTCTTTCTCCCATGCCGTCTCTGTTTACACACTCACAGTTCTTCATGCAGACAGACTTCTGAAAGGGAAAGCTGTCTCATTTGATACCACAGTTTTTTTTTTCTGGTGTGTCTGTATGTTGAATGTGATGCGTGTGTGAGTTTGTCCGAATATTCATAAACTGTAACGTTCTCACTATTCCCTTTTTAAATTCCCTTTGGTTTGAAAAATGTTCGTGCAGCTCTTGTTTAAAATGAGGAAACCAGTAAAGAGTCCGTGGCGTCTTTTTCATCGATTTGCTGCGCTCAATCTTTTCTGTTTGTTGTCCCTCTTCAAAATAAAAGCACAATGACTGTTTATTTTACAAGAAAGAAATTACAATAATATTTTACTCTTCTGTCTAAACTGAAATTATTTTTTTAAATAGGAGTCACCTTATTTCAGAGACAGAATTTCTCGCGTTCCTTGAAAAAAATGCAAATGTTTGTGACGTCCATCTTTCTGTCTCTTTAATTGCAGGACTGTACAGTTTATGAGATTGAGGAGAAGATTCTGGAAGTGGTGAGTACTGATTCTGCTTTTTCCTCTGGTTTGGATGTTTGGAGATGCTAATCGGAAACATGTGTGCGTGCGCGCACGCACACACACACACACACACACACACACACACACACACACACACACACACACTTCCTTTTCCTGTCTTGTACTGAGTGTCCTGTGGTGTTCACTGTGTGTGCGTGTGTGATTCTGCAGGTTTGTTTATTCAGCTCAGGACCATCCACTTCCTGTCTTGGATAACGCTTCCTGTTGGTTGTCCTCTAGTTCCCAGAATACTGAAATCACTTTCGTTCCTCGTCAGTTTCTAATGTGACCTCATGACCTCTGACTCCCCGCTAATGAGACCTCAAGTTTTAGATTAGTGGCATAAATTAACACTGACCTCGAATCACTAAAAGGTACACCCTGGTCTCCTTGTGACCATCAGTGGACAGGCCGATAAATCACAAGTTATTCTTAAAGATCCTCAAAAAGCTGCTAACTTAAATAAAGTTTTATGCTCTTTGTTGTTAGTGCTGTCAATCCTGTCATGTTTTCGTAAAGCAGAGCTGCTGAGCTGTCAAACTATTAAAATGCTTTATTAAATGTAGTGGGGTTCATTTTAGCCTGTTGAAACTGTACATTAAGAAAATGGACTGTTCTTGGATTGGGATCAAGACCAGAAAACCCAACAGGCCTGTTGAGTAATCAATCCATGCTTTCCTCCACTTTACATGATGATAAACACACTTGAAGGGACAAATGTGAGGAAAAGTTCATGTATTTTGGTTTTTCTGAATTTAGGTAAAAAGGCAAGAATGACTCCCTTCTTTCTCTTTTCCATGTGAACAGTGCGAAGTGCTTTAATGTGTTGTATGATGTTGGTAGACAAAGATTTCAGACAGACTTTGTTAATATTTTTGGTGTCCATCTATTGTTTCTTTTCCTGTAGTTTATATGATCTTTTTAACTCCTAACTAACAACATTGGTAGCAGGTGCCTCTGCTGTTACACAGTGAAAGGCATTGTTTCAGTTTGTTTGTCCAGGTGATGAAGAGGAAAACGCTGATCTCTAGTTAGTTAGACTGGTCTCCACCACAGAGACGAGCATGTCATTTAAAAACGGGCAATAAAAATTTGCAAAGCAAATCAAGAAACAAAGAGCGAATTAACTTTCCTGAGGAGCATGCTTTTCTGGTTTACTTGTAATTTCCTGCTGGTTTGTGTTTTCCTGATCACCTCCCTGCTTCCCATGACCTCAGACCCCCCGCGATGTTTCAGAGCTGAGAGTCTAGTCAGTCAAATGATAACACGAGGCTCCTGGAAGATCCTCGTCTCTGTTGTTCAGCAAAACCAGAAACTGCAGTACTGCAATATTTAGAGCTTTTTATGTAACACTGCTCTGATCTCTGAGGGGTTCATCAGTCTATTTTCTTCTTTTCATTTTCCACAGAAAGGTCAGGGACAGAAAGCTTTAGTGCGACCAAAGCAGGTAGTGATTCAGCATTTTAGACACATCAGAACGGATGCTTGTCACCATGGGACATAGAAACTGGCACAAGAAACCACCGTGCAGCCAATAACTTCCTCCTTTTTAATAAATCCATCCTGCATACGTTCTCTGATTTCAGCTTATACAGTTAGAAATGTAACTGACTTTTGAAAAGGGTGTTTATCGGCTCGTTCGGTGTACAAATAGGTGTGTAGAGTTTCAGTACAAATAGAAGCTAAATGAAAGGTTTTGACCACAAAATGATGTATTTTTATCTTAGAAATTGACATAATTGATTCCAACACCTCATCAGGAGAGCTGTCGAGTTTTATTCAAGTCATGTCATGTAAGTTACAGGGCTAAAAAAATGACAAAGTGTTAAAATGGCCTCATAATATTCTTGAACCCAAAGAAAATTCTTCAAATTGTTTGTTTCTCTTGTCCAAAAAAAACAAACAATTTACAGTAAACCATGAGAAGTAGAGCATTTGCAAATTTTAGAACCCACAACCATTAAATATTTTGCATATTTGCTTGAAAAAATGCCCAAAATGATGATTAATCAGTTATCAAAATAATTGCTGATTAATTTCCTGTAAGTTTGCTTATAATCGATTAATCTACTATTCGTTTCAGCTCTGTGTGTAACTTTATCTTATTAAACTGTCGATGTTTTCTTTCTTGTGTGTTTCAGTCCCGATCTCTGAACAGCATATGCGAGAAGACGGTCCAGGCGACCTCTGACCCTTTAAAGAGTGACATGGCCTGTCTGGAGGAGGTGCACATCACCAACATCAAGCCTGGAGAAGGACTGGTGAGCTCAGACACTAACAAAGATCAAACTGCATAAACCAAAAGACAGAATACAAATACAGGGCAGACTTCATCTTTTTCGTTCGGACCACATTAGCCAGACCGTAAGAAGAAAACAATTTAACACGACTTCCCCTGAGAAACACTAACAGGTATTTTAGTGCTTCACCATGAACCACAATCAACAGAGATGAAACACAGAAACAGATGTAGGTCCAAAATGGAAAAAACCCACAACCACCTCTGCAGCAAGGAATTATTGAAAAACCATGTGAGATTGTTTGTATAGGAGATTCATATGTGCGTTCTTCAAATGTGTTTAATCTTCCAGGGTATTTACATCAAATCCACCTACGACGGGCTTCACGTCATCACAGGAACAACAGAGAATGTGAGTGTGCTGCTGTTTTCTTGATCATAACTGCTGTGTAAAAACAAAAAGCTGTTTCCAGACATTTAGTCTGGCTCTGGCCCTAAAAGTCATTTATTTTTGACACTTTTTGAAGGTTTCTCAGGTTGAAACATCTGAAAAAGCTCCTTCACTGGTAAAACGGTAGAGGAGATGTTGGTGTCATGTGAGAGTAAACTCTGATTCTGCTGTTCAGTCTCCTGCAGATAAAACCCAGAGGATTCACGCTGGAGATGAAGTCGTTCAGGTCAACAAACAGACAGTGGTGAGTCAAAAGTCTACTCTTTAGAGAAAAGGTTAGACACTTTGGAAAAGTATCCTTACTCACTTTCTTGTTGTGAGCATCAGACGAGAACATTGTTACTGTACCGTAAATATGCTGCTACTTCTTGTTTCCTGTGTAGAGTCATTTCACTTATATTGATACAGGGGGATTTTAAATAGTTGTCTTTTAGAAGACTAGTGACCACTTTGTAGAAGCTAATGAGGATCTGAATAAAGAATAAAGCATAGCATAAAAACAGGTGATAATGGCTAGCCTGGCACCATAACAAAATAAACATTGCTGATATTTAGTACTCAAGACTTCTGGTGTGTGATTGGTCCAGGTGGGATGGCAGTTGAAGCACCTGGTGGAGAAACTCAGGACGGAATCTGGAGGCGTCGTCCTGATGGTGAAGAAGAGGCCGCCTGGAACATCCGGTGGCTTCGCACCCGCTCCGCTGAAAAACCTGCGCTGGAAACCGCCACGCATACAGGTGAGCTGCCCTGACAAGTAGGTACTAAGTACAACAGGTTTGATAGGTCCACTCTGCTGAAGTCTGTTTGAGCAAGATTCATTGTTTTGTTTTTTGTAATAGAAGTTGTATTAGCAGTAGGTTGTTCTGTGGTTGTGCAGCTGATGTTTGTGGAGCTGTTGAATGCTTTAGGAAACACACCTGCTTCATTCAATGGCGCTACACGTTTCACGAATGTTTGTTTACTGATTGATTATTGAGCAGCTGCCGGCTGTGGTTTTATCAGGCACCTCTCACGTGTGACGATGTGTCAATGTATAAAGGTGATCCGGCCTGTTTCAGTAACCCTCTCCGGGGTAAATAAAGAGCCGCTCTGGTGCATTCACCGCCTGTCATCATGGCCTTTAGTGAAGCTGTTTCTGTTTCTGAGCGATCCAAGCAGAAAACACAGCAGCCACCAGTCTGCTTCTGCGCTGAGGTGTGTGGGGGAACAATGGATCCTTTCTCTTTTCCTGGAAAAAAAAACAGGATAAGAAACACTCCAAACATGAGGCTGCGTGGATGTTCGAGATCTTTGGAAGTTGACTCATACGTTCACTCAACAATGTGACAATTATAAATTCACCAAACTGCCGTCAGGGGGTTTGTGTTGACAGAGGTCCAGGATGTGCGTGTTATCTGAAGATAGGCGACTTAAATGCCCCTCGACAGCCGGGTTGATGCGTTCAGTCTCTAATCTCGGCTATCAAGAGTGATGTCAGTCTGTCTTTACCTCATCGTCACTCCTACCATTCATTTCAAAGGTCATCTTGAATCAACATGTCTCCCTTACTTGAGCTTGGTGCGCTCACCACCTTCCACTGGACTGGAAATGTAAAGGCTGGAAATAATGATTATTATGATTATAGTTAAGGTTCAGTGTGTAATATTTAGGAGGATCCACTGACAGAAATGTAATAGAATATACATAACTATGTTTTCTGTGGTGTATAAAGACTTTACTTGATGAACCATTTTTTTTTTTTTATTACCTTAGAATGAGGCATTTCTATCTACATACACTGCAGGTCCATGGACGTCACCGTGTTGCGCTGTCATGTTTTTACAGTAGCCCAAAACGGACAAACTGCTCTACAGAGTGCGTTTCGTCACTACGTTGAATATGTACTAATAAAAGGAGAAGAAGTGGTAGTAGTCTTCTGTTTTTAAGTAAGAAGGGACTTGAAATCTAGACAAAAGGAGGACCACACGTAGTATTTAGCACAAGAGCCAACAGAGCTTGTCGGCCACCGTAGCTTCTCCTGCGCTTGCGAGTTAGATGCTATTTGCAACCCTCACCACTAGATGCCACTAAATCTTACACACTGAACCTTTAGTTGAATATTTAGTCTAAAAAATGTCAAAAAGGACAATTTACAGAACTTTAAACACCAATTTTGATAATAATCGATTTGATTATTTAAGATTTTTATCAAGCAAAACTGCAAAATGATTTCTGGTTCCAGCTTCTCAATATGAAGATTTCCTTTGTTTCATCACTCTAAACGGACTATCTTTGGGTTTTGGACTGTTGGTCGGACATAACAGGAAAGTTGAAGACGTCACCTTGCACTCTGGGAATGACTAATCAGAAAATATATACAGATTAATCGATAATGAAACACACGTAACAAAGTCCAAAGTGATTTCTCCAAACTGAAGAATTTTTTTAACAAAACAAAAACTCAAAGTGCAGTCCTTTTTAGATCATTTAATTTTAACTGACAGTACATATGAGCCAAAGGGTCAAGCTTTTCTTTCAGTCACACCCTCTCAAACTGCACATAAAGGGGTTTTTATTCTACTTTTCCCATGAAAAGACCAAAACTAACAATGTGTTAGTCAGACTTCCATTGAACATGTCACCCAGTGCAGCAATGAGGCTCATTGATGTCTTTTTAATCTCTATCTTTAAAGCTCTTTGGCTCAGAGGAATAATATATACCAGGCTTTGACACACACACACACACAATAGTTAAGTTAATATAGTTAAGTTGTAAAGTTTGTAGAATAACTTAATTTTTAGTATTTTGGTCTTTTTATGGGATTTTTAGACAATAAGAAAAATATCTATTTAAATGGAAATTGCCCTTTAATCAGCAGAGGAACACGTTTCAAGCTGCGTCTTTAACTCCTTCATACGTGTTTCTGTCACACAGACAAAGCAGAAAATGAGCTGAGTGAAGTTCCTGTGTTTATGGAAAAATACAGAAGCTTTGGAGGTGAGGAAGGAAGCAGAAGAGCCTCGTCTGCAGTTTCTCTTCTTGAGCGGGAACGTCTTACTGTTGTTTTATGATAAACAGCCTTAAAGGATTCATTACCTCCTCCGCTGTCTGCTGTGTGACAGCAATGTTGTTCAAAGCACCACTGACCACAGAAACACTAATTAGAAGTAATCACAGCAGGGAAATGTTTAATAACAAACGTCTTTTTCCGTAATTAAAGTATTGATTAATTTTTCTAACAGCTGCGCCGTAATAATTTCTCTTTATCTTGTTGTGTCTAGAACTCTCAGGAAGCTCCAGGTCTCTACAAATCCCGACAGCCAGAAACCTCAGATGTTCCTGGGTATCGAGGGAAGACAGCCATATTGGATTTGTACGTCCCTCCTCCCCCTGAAACACCTTACGTACCGCTGTGAGTCCCAGATTTAGCAGGTCAACTGTCAGGTCTACGGGGGAAGACTAATTAATCCTGCATCATGAACAGCTAACTTTAATCTTAATAATCCTCCTCCTGTTCTGTCCCTCTCTGAAGAGACGCGAACATGAACGTGTCTTCAGGTGTGAAAATGAGGCCGAAGTCTCCGAACTCCAGTCTGGACGCAGACTTGCGGCGACGCTCCACTTTTGCCGACGACAACAGGATGTCTGTCAACCTCCCACCTGAAGTCAACCAGCCAATCCCTGTTTGCCTCAGACAGCGCTCCTCTACACGCTGTGAGTGCACACACACACACTTTTCCATACTTATGAGGACCCTCATTAACATAACATGTTCTCAACTTTAACCCTAAAACCAAGTCTTAACTCTCTAACAGCCTTTTAAAGAAGGGAGGAAAATGTGTCATCACTTGCTTTTTCAGAGGATGTAGTCCAGTCTTGTCTGATGAATATGAATATCTGAAAATGTTTCTTTAAAGCTCTGAAGCTTAACCTTTTCAGTCCCATGCCTTGTTTTTGGGGCCAAAAATCAGAGAAAGTGTTCTGTCATCATGTGAATCAGACAGTGGTTTCCTTTTGTAATTTATTATAAAGAACATTTTGACCAGATGAAGAACATAGTGTGCTCTATTTTTGGGGAAATACACATTTGCTTCCTTGAAGCTACAGCCAGTAGATGGTTAGCTTAGCATAGCAAAAAGAATCTGTAACTAACAAACAAATTGATTTGAACAAATCTTAAACAAAGAAGATGTCGCGTCTTAAGTAGTGAGCTGTAGAGGTGCTGGTTGGTGTATTTTGTTACCTTTGGACAGAGCAGGGCTAGCTTAGTTTCCAGTCTTTGTGCTAAGCTAAGTGGCTGCTGGCTTTAGCCTCATGTTTATTGTACAGGTATTAGAGTGGTATCTTTGATCTCATCTAACTGCCTGCAAGCGTATTTCCCAAAATGTGTATTCCTTTGAATTCCAAGCATGTAAATCTTATCTAATATTAATGTTGCCGGTTGAAAGATAAGATCAAAGAGAGATCAAAAAAAGATCAAACTTATTGGTCTCTGCGGCTACTGCAGCTTCAGTTTCATGAGTTAGGAAAAAAAACAATCCAAGCAGATATATATTTATATTTATTATTTACTGCGTCCTGTAGCAGGTCTGTAACTTGTCGTGTCTGACATTTCTCTGCAGGCAAACCTCGACCCGTCTCCATGCCGGTGGAGTCGTTTTCAGGTGTGTCTGACCCGTCCTCCAGGCGCGGGGCTCAGGGACGGAAAGGTGAGCTCCATCTGAACTAGACGCAGCCAAGCGCCTGTAATCTAACCGTTATCAGTGATGGCCGCCTGTCTGCCTCATTAAACGTGCTTTGAATTTTTACCTTGTCGATTATTAACGCTGAGAGCTGCCGCTGAATCGGCTGAGCTGTTTTCAGTCACAGTTCAGCCTGGTGCTTAGAGCACTTCACCTTCAGGAACAAACCGTGTGTTGGCAGTTTGTCCAAGATAGCAGGCTGTTAATGGATTTTCGAGTCGGAGCAGTTAAACAAAGACACATGAAGTGAAGTAAAGTGAGACTAACAATCGAACAAACTTGACATACTTGTGCACGAACCTGCGAGCTGCTGTGTCATATTGTATGTTGAATCATTTACATGTGGCTTAAGCTCCATCTTTGAAACATTGCTGTACCTGTGGATGAGGGACATTTTAGGCCATTATAACACAATCATGGACTGTGTCTTTATCAGTGAAACATTAAGAATAGTTAAACAAGGAGATCCACTGATATTTGAAATATAACAGTAGATTAACAGAAGCTTTGTTCCAGTTTCTACAGACCTAACTTTTTGTTCTCGTCTCCTGAACAGGGCAGGACGTTCTGCACAGATATCTGAGTAACGAGGGAATCAGCACCATCACAGAGGAGGAGCCGTGTTACCCTCTGCCGTACCGAGGACACCCGTCTGTCCGCGGCGTCGACCACATTAGAGGCAGTCAGTGCTTCATCAACGCCGACCTGCACAACAGCGCCACCATCCCTTACCAGGAAGCAGCGTCCAAAAAGCCTGCTGCCTCCACCTCCGCTGCCGTTTCTCCTCCTCTGGCTGTAACCAAACAGTCAACATCGCTGCTCGGCGGCTGGCTGGCTCGTCTCAGGCTGCTCAGCCACTGAAGGAGTCTACACGTGGTTCAGATTTTATTAGATAAGACATATTCCTCTAATCCGGCTCCTACAGGAGGTTGTGTATTCTCAGCCTGAAACTCAGGATGTCTACTGGAAAAAGGTTTTTAAATTCAAGGCTGTGAAGTCAGTTCAGAAAATCTTTTAAAAAGTGAAATACAACAGTTCAAGAACAACGAACTTCTGGAATGAGTCAATGATGGAAGAGGTTTTTAAAAGTAAGCACCAAAAACACCAAAGCAAAGAAGAAAGAAGCAACAACATTAGTGTTTTGCTGAGTCGCTTGTTTTTCCACATTGACCAGGACAGTTTTGCCAAAGCTCCTCAGGATCTTTCCTCAGTTATCACCACAAGCTTCATAATTTTCCATTCAAATAATCAATAATAGAAAATGTTATTTTATTCAGTCTGGTGGTGTAACAGATGGTAGTTGATCAGTGATCCATACACACAGATGTGCTGAGGGCGGGACTACAGAGAGAGAGGTGGCTACATCAGAGCCAAAGCATTACAAAATTAAATTTTTTTTTTTTTTTTTTTTTTTTTTGCCGTTCCAAATATGATCCAGTCCGTGACTCAGAACCATGATCATGAGGTTTGTGATGGGTCTTGATCTCACCCACTGACACCTGTTTAACTTTAAACATCCCTTGAAAATCTCATTAAACAACTTATTTTTTTTCTGACCTCTAGTGGTTCTGAATCTTTCTGCAGTTTGACTCTTGCTGCTACACCTTGTCCATCCACAGACTGAATGGAAACATGGACTCTGTGACGTCTCTCAAAGTATTTTGAAAAGACATTTAATTTGCTTCACATTTCGAAAGCCTGGAGCTTGACCAACCACCACGGACTCCGACATCTGAAACACAACTCTCTTTAAGCCGTAAAGACACTTGAGAGGAAGTGAATTTAGCTGCTGAATCAACATACAGCTGATAAAGAGTGTGCAGACAGTGGCATCGAAGAAATATGGAAATACCAGTTCTGAGTTTGAACCGGTTTCTAAAATATATGTGAAAACTGGGAATCGGTTAACAAACACACTTTGCAATGTCGTCTTTTAAACGCTGAAAACAACCTTTCAGTAACAAAGTTTGGACATGCTGAGCTTCCATACAGGACAAAATCAAGAAAAAACAAGTGTGAGAATTTTTTTCAGCCTGAATCTGCTGAAAATGAAGCTGGTTTTTGTTTTCAGCAGATTTTGTTTTCTTTTAATTCCTCAGGTTATGTGGAAAGATTCAATAAGCAGAATTAGTCAACAAACTCCAAACAATCCCACATTTTTAGAGATTCGAGGACTTGATCTCAGCGTTCGGATTCAAAGAACTAATAATCAAACTTTGGTGAATTTGTAGTTTAAAAATGGTGAAGCATTTCTAAACGTCAGAGCTGCTGTTGCATCTTTTCCTCTCAATCTCAGGAGCCGTTGGTGCCTCTCGTGTCCAGACTTTTACTGTTTGTAAATATGTTTCATAGATTGTTTTATTTTACCACTGAAGACCAAATTTCAGTCATTTACCTAAAAAAGAAAGAAGTGCAGAAACACAAGCTCAATATTGTTACTGAATATTTCTGAGGCAGTAATAACGATATAAACGTGTGTATAGGAGAAATAGTTAAATAATAGTTTCAAAAATACATTTACATTAAAGTGCTTTAACAGTCAACGGAAGCATGGCAAACGTTAATACAATGTTAATTAACCAATTATGACTTGCACACATTTTAAGAAAGCAGTCTTAAAGTTATAGAGAGCCTATGTCCATCACTTCTGCACCATAGGACCTTATTTCGAAAAACATGTATAGTAATCACACAGTCAGTTTTTTAGCCCATGTGAATAGTGCCCTGAATTACACACACAATGTTTGTCATTTTAAAAGTTAACGTTTGCAAGTCAAGAAAGCCGCAGTTTGTCATAAAAACAGTAAAGTAACATTTAGTTTGGTGTAAAACTGCTCAATAAACTATATCTCTTGTCTCACATAGTATAAGTCTCCAACCTGTTAGTGCTGTAATGCTAAGCTAACGTTCATTGCTATCTACTAGCTAACCTGACTTGTTTAATCCAGCCACCCCTGGTCCTTTCATCACATCATCTACACATAGAAGCTCTTTGATGTTAGCTTTAGTGATGTTCGCTTCAGTCATTAAGAGAAAATGTTATGTCACACACGTGACTTTTGAGTCTTTTTGGACTTTTAAAGGACTTTTGTGGTCTTTCTTATTACTTATTTTCACAGTCTCATACAGTCTCTTCAGTTTTACGATAAACTGACTTTCTTGATCTAAATTATCTTTTAAATTATACAATTCAAACGGGATAAAGCAATTTATCTCTTGCCATTGAATTCTGCACATATGTTTTCTGAAGTAAGGCCCCATGGAGGTCCACCGGAAGGGGAGGGACTTAGGCTCTCTGTAATTAAAAACTATATGATATCTTCCTGTAATTATTCATAATGTAAAAACTTTGTGTTAAATTGTTTTGATCGAAATGAATCAACCTGAAGAAAACAGGAACTCTCACAGCAGCTGGTGAAGCTCATAGTTCACACAGAGAAAATGTTCTTAAAATGTGCTTTTATTTTGGTTTAAGAGTGAAGAGTTTTAGTGTTAGAGATTCTGCTTTCGAAATCACAAACCGACATTTGAGTTGAAAACTGCTGCCATCATCTAACAGATTTGTCTGCAGATACTTTGACGTAGGTCTGCTGGAAGCTGCTTAAAATTTCAGGTCAAGCTACCTGTAGTATTTCAGGTGTGGCTTACTGCACTCACAAAACTTCAGTGGTTCTTTAAAAGGTTCTTTAAAGAACTTGTGTACCATTATGAAAAACTTTTTGAAGGAGTTCCTCAAGGAAGCATCTTGGATCCTCTGATGTTTACAATCTGAGAAGCTCCTTAATGTTTCCTGAAATACCTTTTTTTTCTTTTTTTTTTTTCTTTTGTAAAGAGTGTTTCTGGTTCGTGTTCAGTGCCTTTATACTAACACATTATGCAAGAGCTTGAAAGCTTGTACAAAAGATTATCACAGAGGCAACCTCGTGTGTTCTTTAATGGAGCATTTTAAAAGTTTAGATTTTTGGTGTCTGAACATCACATTTCTATTTAAAGTTAAACTATGTAACTTTTTAAAGAAGAAATATAACATTTGAAGTTATAAGAAATGAAAACACTTTACTTAATTAATTACACTGTACTAAAGCCTTACTTGGTCTGGTATGAGTGGTGGTGGCTAATGTTAGAAAACTTTATTTTCTCCCTATGATCTCAGTCGGATCATCTTATGATGTCTGAAGAAAGTCATGTAGGAAAAGCCAACATCCTGTAATTACCTCTTGTGGCCACAGTTGCCACTGTTCAACAAAAGTTACATACAGATGACTTCGAGATGACTGCGGATGAATTTCACTGACTTGCCGCAGGTGACTTAAGGGACAGGGCATAAAATCACTGCTGTCAAGTGGGACACGTTCTACCTCCTGTAGAATGACGGTAAGACCTTTTGGTAGCTTACTGTGAGCTAGTAGCAATGTCTGATCAAGATCAGGCAAAAAGGTAGTTCAGCCTTTGTGCAGCCAGAGAAAAGAAACTGCGATTGCCGGACTCAGATAGCTGCAGCCGCCTTGCTCCCAAGAGTCATATGACATGGTGATGTCGGACAACATTTGTTACCAGCATGCCTTATGTTAAGTCCAGCATGCACCATGCATGTTAAGTCAGCGCTGCAAAGCACCGCATGAAGTCAAAAACACCTGTTGTCTCAGTTTAAAATGAAAATTAATTTCATCTTGTTTGTTGTTCAGGAGTTGTGGATGATCCTGCTTGTTTGACTTTGCCAAACAACATGTTTAACTACTTTCATTCTTCATAATGTAAATCTGAATTGTTCCATAGCTCTGCAGTATGATGCCTCTGTGATGCTTTGTTACTTTATGAAAAATATAAAAATAAAGTTCAATTTATTTTGGAAGCTTTCAACTTTCCATCAATTACAAAATTGTTGTTATACATAATGAAAGTGACATAAGTTGTGAATTTAACATTGTTTGGGCTCATCTAAATTTTATTTTGATAACCCCAGAATCTACTTTGTCTCAGGGGGCTTTACAATCTGCTCAACATGCAACAACCTTTTATTACTTAGATCCTCAATTCAGATGTGGAAAAAAATGTCAATAACTTTAAGAGTCTGGGACAAAGTGTTTAAAGTACACTTCGGTTTTCCCCAACTGCTGCACGTAGGATCCATTTTAATTAAACCGCTTTCATCATCTAACAAAAGAGCAGAAACTGTATTTATTTGGCCGTAAAGTTCAGGAAGTTCAACAATATTCATCTGTAGTGAATCATTTGTGTTTTGTTGCAACTTTTTAAAGTTAAAGTTCTATAAAGAAACTTGCCTTGCCAGCATTATAAATACCAGCAGTTCTTTAATGAACTGCTTGACTTGATAAATACAGTCAAACTATCAGTGAGTCACACTTAAAATATCCATTTGCAGTGAGTCAATAGTTGCCAAGTGATGAATTTAATTACCAGGGAATTTAAAAAGCTCCGGTCTGGGGTTTGAGTCCTGTCCCACGATTTACAGAAAGCTTAGAAGGGAAAATTGAGATACTAGGGAATTGTATCTCCTCTTAAAGCATTTAAGATACAACATTTTGAGAAAGGACATTCGCTCACTCCTTGGTTGAACCACACAAAGTTCAACCTGTGATGAAGGTTGCTTGGCTGTAATAGTGAAAAGGTTGGCAACCAGTTTAACAGATGCTATAGAACATGATTAGACTTGAAGCATTTAGAATTACAAGGACAATGGCGCCATCTAGTGGGCAACTACAGTAAGTAAAAATATTTTGTCAGGTCAGTAATTTAAGGATTTTATTGCCATTGATCAATCAAACAGATTTACATTTACTAACATGAATTATTCTCCTCCAGACCTGCAGTGAAATTTTAACTTAAAGTAACACCTTGATCATAATTCAAAGCACATGTGATCATTAAAGCATCCTACACGAAGGGCATGTTTACCTCCACCAACGGGGGTTGTATTAGGTTCCTGTTGCCTCTTTGTTAGTTTCTTAGTATATCTGAAAAACTTTACTGATTACCTTTGTGCTGTGGCTCCAAAGTTTTAACATTAACAAGAATTCATGCAAGAACAGTTTTTACTGCGTGGTAGATCAAAGTAAATGTTATTTTTGAGTGAAGCTGACGTTGGTTGTAGATAGTCGGTCAAAGATCCTACAATATTTTATTTTCTTGAAAACAAAGAGGAAGTTTCTGAGCAGAGAGTCTCTGAGAAACAGAACAGAGCAGAATGATCATGAAGAACATGTGAAACAGGAAGGATGGTTAGGGTATATGCATGTATGTGTCAGAGTGATTTTGGCTTTGTGGTCGTTCTGTGGGTCGATGTATAAAGTCTCACTGGCAGCGTTGACAAACTCTTGTTCCTCCTCTGCTGCGTGTCAGTCGGCTGCAAAGACACCAAGCTGCTGGACTTTCAACCTGCAGGTAAGACCCTTTATTTAAGGGTTTCTGTGGTGGTGGTTTAGATTTAGGTGGTTTTTAGATAAAAGGTCGTTCATATTTTGAGCTTATCATAATTTCACAGTTTGCAGTTTTATATCGCCTTTGTGTGCATGTGAAAAACAGCTGCATGCATCATGTATCTGAGCGTGTGAATATGTAAATAGTTTGTGTAATGTGTACGTTTGGTAGCTGTAGAAATAGTTTGTGTACGTGTGATCAAAGTCTGAGAGGACACACAAACTTCCTATCTGCATACATGACCCTTTTTATAAGTTCTCCTTTTGAGAAGAAAGCCAGAAACCAAAGGGAGAAAGTTATATTTTATACTTTTTGGTTTCTTGATAGCGCCCTAGTTTTGCCATAATTAAACAGTAGATGAAGACCAACAGTGTTCTATCACAAGCAGAGCAGAGGTCACACCTAACCAGACAGACGCTGAACAACCACCACGTTGACTTTCCTGCAAAAGTCGCCTTCTTATCAAACTTTTCTAAGATGTGTAGTTCATGTTTCTATGAACTACACATCTTGTCCTGCACTGTAGCTTGTTGAACGGGTGACCAAACAAACATTCACCTTGAAAAAGTGCAATGCCAGCATGTAAACATACACAGATCAGCCATAACATTATGATCACTGACAAGTGAAGAGAACAACACAGATTATCTCATTATCATGGCACCTGTCAGTAGGTGGGATAGGCAGCAGGTGAACATTGTATCCTCATAGTTTATGTGTTAGAAGAAGGAAAAATGGATTTGAGCGACTTTTGCAAGGGCCACGTAATGATGGTCTGCAGTGGTCAGTACCTATCAGTACCTATAAAAGTTGTACAATGGAGGTAAAGCAACGGGGTCAGGGGTGGCCAAGGCTCACTGATGCGTGTGGGGAGTGAAAGCTGGTCTGATCCAACAGATGAGCTACTGTATGTCAAACTGCTGAAAAAGTGGAAGCTGGTTCTGATAGAAAGGCCTCAAGGGGTCAGGACTGCTGGTTAGATGCTGGTGTGATTCTTGACACATACTGTATGATGTGACTTTTTTATGTCTAATAATAATGTAAACCAACCCGATGATAAGTTTCTAATAAATCAATGGGCCTTGTGACATTGTGGCTGGGACCATATTTAGAAATGTTGCTGCGTACAGTAACAGTACAGTACAGTACAGTGTTATAATGATGTTCACAAACTGCCCTACCTGCTAAAAATACATCACAAGCCCACAAACAGGAAATGACAACGAACCCGAGTTGAAGGACAAATGATTCATATAAGGCAACATTATAGAAAGGAAGAAGGCTTCAACAAAACAACAGTGACATGTTCTTGCAACAGATGAGGTGTCATTCAGTGGAGGACTTGCTAGTGTTTTAGTGACTTTACTTTTTTGCAGCCATGTGTCATATACAGCAGCTGATCAATAGGCTAAAACTTTTCCCCCATAGCAGAAACTGAATATGTAAACACTTCAAAACAAACAATGATTTTTTTCTACTCAAGGATAATCATGTTCGAACAGTTGCTTTGGGTGATTTAAACTGGAAGTTAAAGTTTTTTGCATTTATTTGTTTACATTTAAAGTATGCCGAATTAGCCAATAGGAGTTCCTGTTTGCAACCTACCCATTGATGTACAGACAACTATCACTGGCTTACTTTGACACCGAAGAAAACTTAAAAGCGTGATGATTCTCGGGCAAGTTCTGCAGTTAACGTGCATGTCCTGAATGGACGTAGTGGTGTTGTGACGTCACCCGCAGGCTTCCGAAGAGATCCAAAAATAGGCAAAGAGGTGGAGCTGAGTGAAGCCTGGTGGCTGAACCACCTGGAGGCTATAGCCACCTGAGAGGACACCCACCTGTCACTCAAAGCGGCCACGTCCATAATTATGCACAAGTTTAAACCTTCACATAAATATTCACCTCAGTAAAGTTGTCACAAATGGGGAAGTTAGCCGTGGAGACCAAACCTGTTTTCATACCAGGCTGTGTAAACATGTTAATTTCTGCTGTAAAGTTTGGCATTTTAACATCGGGGTCATTGGGGACTGACTGTCCTTTGGAGCCAGCCTGAAGTGGACATTTGATGAGCTGCTTTTTGTTCGAGGCTTCATCTTTCAGCCCCGCAGGTTGCAGCAGCTGAAGCGTCTTTCTTTCCTGTGATTTCTTAGCGGATTTATGCAGGTGGATTTGTGATGGACTCCAGTATAACACCGGGAAGTGTAGCTTAAGTCACACTGAATCTGCAAACTTTTACTTGAGGAGTGCGAGTTTTCTGACACAGATCTCTGTAATCCACCGCTAAAGGTGTTTTAAACTATCTTAATTGCCTCTGTTGTGTTGAAATGTTTCCTCTAACGACATGCACGGGTCCCTTCAGCACCTCTGCTGCAGACAGGTGACACCCCGCACTGCTGTACTACCTGAACCTGAGACAGTTAAATTACACTTTACCCTGCTGTCTGGCCCCCCCCGGTCGACTGCAGCCATGAGTCGGCGGCGGATTTCAGTTAAGGACCTGGGCGAGTTGGACTGTCAGGGCTGGCTTCTTCGCAGAAAGGAGGGCCGCCACTTCCTGGGAAGCAAATGGAAGAAATACTGGTTTGTCCTGCAGAAGAGTTCTCTGTACTGGTACACCGACGAGATGGTGAGTCAAAGCAAGACTTTGTTCAACACATATGTGCTCATGATGCCAAACACCAACTCTCAACTTTTTCCTCAATATCTGATTTAAGTTGAAAAACACAGTAAGATAAAAAAGACAGGTTGAGAAAACAGAGAGGAACAGCATTCATGACATGTGCACACCTGCAGCTACTTAAACATACAAAACTCAGTTCATAAACCTGATTTAGACTCTGAAATAGAAAATATTGTTAGTTTTTCCACAATTCAGACATTATTTGTGTTTTAAACTGACTGCACTGCGGACAGCTTTACTATCTGATGTCTTCTCTTGTAATATTTTTTATTTGTCACTTGTTATCTGATAAAATCTTCTAACTGGTTGTGGTTTCTCATAAGCACGCTGTATAAAACAGAGCTTGGTCTTGAATACATTAATGTAAATTAAAGCGGCAACACAACAGGAAAGAACCTCAAGTCAAGACGAAACACCCAAACTAAAGCAAACCTCAGTTGCATATAAAGTCCAATGCGGCAACGAACTTACAGGCAAAGACATCCTGTGGCTACGACCACTGAGAACTTCTGTGTTTAACAAATGCACTCTTGTCTCTAAAGGTATAATTTCTCTTCCCTGCAGGCCGAGAAAGCAGAAGGATTCATCAACCTGTCCGGCTTCACCATTGAACAAGCCAAACAGTGCAGGAAGAAACAGTAGGACATGTTTTTTCTGTTTGAGTTACCTCTGTGCAACATGTAGTGAAGGCCGGGCTGGCTGGAAAGAAAAAACTAAATAAAAACCACAGACAGACAGCCTGACTCAGCTTGTTGTGGTCAAACTATCTGCTGCTGAGGACGACTCCTCCCACACTCTGTCTGTAAGAAGCTGCATTAACATACTGAACATATCAAGCTGTCTTAAGGGGAGACAACCCAGGCTAAAAAAACACGTCTTCTTTGAAGATTAGTGGAAAGAAAATGCTCAAAATACACATTTAAGGGTCTCCAAAATTCAGCAAATGTTGCCATTAGATGCCTAATTTGCATATTTGCACATGAACTTTAAGAACACTGAAGTACAAAAAATGTTTATAATAATAATAAAATGGGGAAGTTGCACAGTGATTTTACCATTCACCTGCAGTGTCTTGTTCGATGAATGGAGTTTTACAATAAGGCTCTCAGATCAGACTCTGAGCCACAAATCTCCACTTCAGGAGCACTTGCATACACTAAGCTTTCCAGTTTTATTCCTAACTATATTCTGAATGATTTTACTGAGGTTTTTTCGTGCGTCAGTGTTATTTATACAACAAAACATGGTGAAAATAGATTTTTTTTAAATGCCTATTGACAGTATTTTTTGATTTATGGAGCGATAAAGAGATATCTATAAGCCCCTCTGTAAAAAACCTTTGACTCTGATATGTCACCAAAATTAATATTTTTGATGATGCCTCATTTGCATATTTAAACACATCTTTTACTCTATTCCCTTTGGGGTGTCTCCCCTTAAGACTCAGTGACAGTGTCTCATCTGTTAAAGTTAAATTTAGGTGGTGAGAAAAACTAAAACCTTCATTTTATACACCAACTTCTTCTCTGATTCTCTGTTCAGTTTATAGATTGCTCATTATTTATCTTTTTTTCTGGTATTAACCGCTCAGTGTTGTGTTTCAGTGCCATAACGGCCAGTCATCCACTGGTTGTGACCATTTTTGTTGCTGCAGGAAGCTTCACAGACATGAATAAGTAAGTATTTTATCTTTTTCTTAATAATACTGGAGGGATTTGTTACAAGGAGTCTTGGTAGAAGATGCCATTGTTACCATTCCATAAACGTATAAATAATTTAATGGGTCTTGCTCCACCACTTTGATCCAGAGTGAAATATCCCAACAACTATTGGATGGATCACCATGAAATCTGGAACAAACATTCATGTCCCCGTCAGGATGAATTTTAATAACTGTAATACTCTAACTTTTCATCTTGCGCCTTCATCGGGTCAGTTTGTCCAATAGTTTGGTTTGTGACCAAAGTCCTGCAAAACTAATGACATTCCCATTAGCTGCTTATTTAATTAGCAAATATTAGCATGCTTGCATCGTCATTGTGAGCATGTTAGCATGCTGATGACTCTTAGTCTTGTTTAATCTCAGAAGAAAAGTCTTTTTATCTCACGCTGGCTCTGGTTTTGTCAGCCTGTGGGGGGAAAAAGGAAAAAATAGAGTCAGAGGTGAAACAACTGCACTAAACAGGTGAAATCACAGATTTGCCTGTCTGAACAGCCAATCAGAGAGCGCTCTCTCACTGACTCACTGTAGTTGTTTCAGCAAGTTGATTACATTCAATCATTCATAACGCTCACGACTTAATTACCTCTCAGACTCAAAAGGAACAACAGCTTGATGTTGGAGCTGCCCCTTCCCCAAACAAACAACTAAAGGGCTGTTAGAGAGCTGCGCTGCAAGTGCTAATAGCATTTTCGAGTGGCCTTTTATTGTGGCCAGCCTAAAGAACACCTGTGCAATAGCCATGCTGTCTGATCAGCATCTTGATATGCCACACCTGTGAGGTGGATGGATTATCTCGCAAAGGAGAAGTGCTCACTAACACAGATTTTGACAGATTTGAGAACAATATTTGAGAGAAATGGGCCTTTTGTGTACATAGACAAAGTCTGAGGTCTTTGAGTTCAGCTCATGATGAATGGGGGCAAAAACAAAGTGTTGCATTTATAATTTTGTTCAGTGTAGTTTGTGAGTGGTAACATAACGGAGTTTTACAATATGAAAATATATAAACTGAAACGCAACCTTGCTGTGTTTGGGATTGTGAGCTAAGTGTTTTAAATTAGTTTAGGTTTCCGTCTCATCCAACTCTATAGTCCAGGAGTTTCTAACTGAATTTAAATGAATTAATTTATAATTTAGGTTAAAAGCTGTAGATGTATAAAATCTCGCCTAGGGCTCCAACACTGTCAGGGTCCTTGGTTACGAGGTAGAGGAGTGAACATGGCTCAGAGTAGGAAGGACTTAAGTAAAGGTTTAGATGCAGTACTTACAGTGGAGTATTTTCAGTGCTACTTTTACTCAGAGGTGTAAAGTAATGAATTACAATTACTCACGTTACTGTAATTGAACAGCTTTTTAATGTACTTGTACTTTTTAAAGTAGTTTTTTAAATCTGTAATTTTACTTTTACTTAAGTATCTTTTGTTTAAAGTACTGTACTTCGCCACATTTTCAATCACATCCGTTACTGAGTTAAAAAAAAAAAAAGGAAAAACTCTCGACCACTTCGCATCAAGTGCAGGAGAACAGCTTTAAGCTGTGAAGAAATGCTGGATCAAGTTACTGCTGATGCAAAATGAACATTTCCTGCTGATGCAGCTTCACATTAAAAGCATTTAACTGGCAAAACACAAGTTGATTTTTATTTTGAAGGAGTCACAGGAAATGCAACCAACTCCTTCCACTTTCGCTGTTTGCAGACTCATGTTGTGTGCAGCATAAAGTCACATCATGATCTGCTCACATAATTATGGAAACACCAATAACTGCCCGACAGTAGTTTGTTTAGCTGCACCAATACCTGTGGTATTAAAAGGCATCTGCTGTTACCATAGTAACTACAGGTATCTCATGCACAAAAACGGGCAGCTGTATAATTGCCTCAAAACCGGTTAATTAATGCCAATCAGAGTTACATGACAGATTTTAACCATCACTCCTAGAAAACATTTTCTAGTTGAGCCTATGTAGATTTATCATTATGGATTTAGGCCTACCATATTTTTAGGAGTCTGTTCACGCTGATAGAAACTAATAAAAATGTTAATTTTACAAAAGTTGAAAATATTAAACAGTAATATGGCAAATGTTTTTTAAAGTCCGGCCCCCACACTGTCTGCTTAGAACAAATGTAGCGGTGAGGACCCCTGATGTAGAGGTCAGTTAAATTCATTGGTGGATAGAAATAAGTTTTCATAGTTTATTTTGCTGTAAAAAGGACAGTTCACGAGAAAGCTAGTGCAGTGAAAATCACCCAAGATCAAATGTGGACACTGGTGCATCACAGTGGACTGTGAAGGGGCTTTAAAGTCAAAATGCTTTGCTCCTAACAGCCAAAGACATCGGTGCATGACTAAGTTGGTTGGCATTAGTAACCTGCTGGTAACTAGTTATTTATCATACTAATTTTTCCAGTCCAGTGTGGCCTGACATAGTCTAATCTGTTCCGCCAGTTTCCTAATGAAGCGAAAACATTTTCAAACTTCTCATTATAACATAAACTGTCTGTAACGTTTTTTTTTTCTGCCAAACTAAATAAAATTGAAAGCACCATATGGCTTTGTTCCCTTATCAAATCTGTACAGAACTGAAGAAGTCCTTTGGATAAGGGACGAAACGTCTTCCAGTAGCTTCAACCAAGTCCAGTTGCCCGTCATTTTAACCTTCGTTGGATAACTCTGGAGTAATGTGTGTTGCCGCTCTTTCTCGAGTCACTGCTGAGTTTCATGTTGACTGTTGTGTTGCTGCTGCAGGTGGGTCCGTAAACTGTCAGAAGCAGCCAAGCTGTGTGAAGTGATCAACGCTGAAGGTCAGACAGTTAACGCTCAGTAATACAGCAGCACTTATATTCTCTTTAACTTTTTGTTGTTTGTCTTCCTGTGGTCCTTTCTTCTGTTCTCCCTGTTTCCCTTCATCTTATCTTTTTAACAATTCAAAATGCAATATATATCTTCCCATTTTCTTTTCCTTCATCCATTCTTCCTCTTTCCTGTGGGCCCTTTTCTCTTCAATTTCTTCTTTCTGTTCACCCTTCTTCAGAACTTTCTTCCATTGTTCTTGTTTTCATATTTCTTTCTTTCTTCTTTCCTTTGATTGTTTCTTCATTTCCTCCCCTTTACCTCTGTTTTAGTTCCTCCCTTTTCCCAATCCTTTACTTCTTCTTCCAATATTTCTTTATGACCTTTTGTTTCTATATGACCTTTAATCCCCCTTTTTTCTTTCCTCCCTTTATCTTCATTTTCTTCATTATTTCTTCTTAGACCCTACCTTACTTCCACCAAACGTTTAAACCTTATTCCTCATGTGGTCCCTTCTCCCCATTTTCATTTTGTTTTTTCTTGTCATCCTCATCTTCCTGTGGACCTTTCATTTCTTTGTCCAAACTTTCTTTCTTGCATACTCCCCCCATCTTCCTGTCATCTTCCTGTCATTTAGCCCTTCTTTCAATTTCACTTCCTTTTTTTTTAGTTAATTTGGTCCTTCTTCCTCCTCTCTTCTCGTCTCTTGTTTCTTCTTTCCATTTATTGTCTCTTTCTTTCTTCCTGTGTGCAGAGTGCTACAGTGAGGGAAGCGATCAGGACAGTGATGATGAGAGTGAACCCACTTCCTCTTCTCTGGACGCTGAACAGGAAGCCGCTGACTCTGACAATGTGAGAAACAACACGTGAAGGGTAACTTAAGTACATTCAATCAAATTCTCCACACAGTCTGTAAAATAACTCGCTGTCTTTCCGACAGGGAGACCTTCTTCAGCCTGTCTGTGAGTCGTCACCCTGCACCTCAGATCCGCCCACTTCACCGACCGCTGGGAGCAGAAGTAGAAGAACCTCGGAGGGTGGGACTTTATGTAGAAACAGAAGAAGACGAACGGCCTCAGATGGCAGCGAACGCCTGTCCTTGGCAAACCTTCCTGGGCCAGATGGAGCTGCTACAGGAGTTTCTCTCCCTCTGCTCCGTGTCGAGAGAGATAAAGAAGAGGAGGCCGTCCCAGGTAAACACCTGGAACTACACGTGGTTACCAAAACTCCTGCTGATACACCTGCTTCCAGCTGTTGGAGTACCACTGCATATGTGAGGGAGGGAGCTGCATTAAGTCTGATGAAGACTACAAGTTTGAAGCTGAAACAAATCTGATGGTGTGGAGTTAGAAAGACATGAGCTCACAAGACATCTGTAGCCGGCTGCTCATTTCTTAGCAGCCACTAGCATAATATACCCCAATCTCCTAACTAGCTGTCAGTTGCATTGTGGGTAATGTAGGTGTCAGGGTTTGACAAGGAAGAAGAATGCTTGGAATTAAATGGATTTCACAAGTTGATAGCCCCACTAACACTAGACAGATTGTTTTATCATGCAATCAGTATATTTACATTTATTTATTCGCTGTGATCGTGCTGAGCATAAAGTTTGCAGAGGAGAAGGCTTCGCCAGGTGTGTGTGTTACTGAAAAGCAGCAGATTACAACTTTCTTAACGTCTCAACAGTCCCGACCAGCATCAGAAACTTGTCGTCTTCCTCTTTCCAGAGAAGCCACCTGATGAGATGGAGTACCTCTACAAACACCTGAAGGCAGCCAGCTTGTCTCCGATCGGACAGTCTAGGCAGAGGGACTTCAGAGCGTCGTTTATCAGACGATGTCGGAACGACAAAGTCAACGAAAAGCTCCACCTGCTAAGGATCCTCAGCAGCACATTAAAGGTGAGATTATCCTGACGCCAACAACAAATCAGGGTTGGATCATATGAGTATTGAGAGATGCTAAGGGCCTGGAGCAGTGGTGGCAGAAGCGCTCGGATATTTTACTTAAGTAGAAGTAGCTATAACACCATGTAAAGAGAAATTCAAGACATTAACTTCACCTGGATGTCAAGATAGAAACAAAACAGAAGGAATAGTAACATTTTGGGAAATACAGATTGTGTACACGTGAGCTTTAGAGATGCTGGTAGGCGTAACATGTCTTATATTTCACCTTTGGACAGAGCTAGGCTAGCAGTTTCTTTGTTTCCAGTCTTTATGCTAAGCTTATGTTTCCTAAAAAGCCAAACAAGTTAAGTTATATTATATATTTTACTTACCTTGAATGTTTTGTGTTACTTTTCCCTCTGACTGTTTAAACTTGTGGAAAAACCGCAACAAACAGCTCGTTGTTCAAGCATTTTTCTTAAAACTGAGACTTAAAACCTCTACAGCCCTGCTAGCTTTGAGCTTAAAGCTAACATCTTCATGCTAAGCAGCTCACAATCTTACTTAAGCCCTGTTCTCAAACTGGGGGGCGGGTATAGAAAGTCCCTCCCTTTCCGGTGGACCACCATGGGACCTTACCTCGGAAAGACAAAGACAACAAACCCAAAAGTCGCGTATGTGAAGTCGTAACTTGACTGAAGCTAACGTCAAAGAGCTTACATGAGAGGATGATGTGATAAAAGGACAGAGTCGTTGGATTAAACACATCAAGTGAGGTATATTTCTTTGTGGAACATAGCTGAGTTATTTAGCCAGAAGCAACCAAGCAATGAACGTTAGCTTAGCATTAACGCGCTAACCTGTTGATGACAATTATTGTGCAAGACTTTTTGCTAACATGAATAAACACAAAATACAGCTGAGGTTGATGAGAATGTCTTTAGTTTTACAAGTAACTCATTATTAACTTAAGTATGTTGACCTGATGGTGGCGCTACAGGAAACATCACTGGGATTGTTTGTCTGTACAAACTGCTGTGGTTCTGTTCGTCCTTTAGGCCAAGGAGTTGGAGCTGCAGGCGGTGGAGCAGATCCTGGCCGACCCAACTCTCACGGCGCCCCAATACAGGAAGTGGAGGCTCTCAAACCTCACCTTGCTGCAGGAGATCAGTCAACGCAACCAGGCAGCAGGGGGCGCTGCGGAGCTGAGACCTCCTGATCAGCCTCCTGTGAGCTGAGACTTGGACCACATTCATGCCAAAGAGGATAAATCTGAAAACGCTATTCTATATTAGTGTTTTCAGATTTTGTTCCCGCACTGAAAAACCAAAATGGCTCATGAGGTAACAGGTGTGACAGAGAGCAGGTGTGCTGGACTTTGCTTGGTGAACAGAGACAAAGCCATGGTGCTCGACATGTTCTATGTGACTTAAGTACAATTTTGAGGTATTTTACTGGAGTATATTTGATTTTATGCTACTTTCTACTTCCACCACTCTACTTTTTATTTCATAACTTTAGTTTCTTTACAGATTTAGGTTAAACTACCCAGCAGGATATAAAGTAGTTTATAAAGAGCGTCACGTTTACCAGCTGCAACGTTAAAGTGATGAACACAATGCATCAAAATTATAATCCAGTTATATAAGAGATATTATTATATACATGGGTTATTCTGCATAATTAGTACTTTAAAAGCACAAAATTATAAACGCAACACTTCTGTTTTTGCCCCCATTCATCATGAGCTGAACTCAAAGGTCTAAGACTTTCTCTGTGTACACAAAAGGCCTATTTCTCTCAAATATTGTTCACAAATCTGTCTAAATCTGTGTTAGTGAGCACTTCTCCTCTGATGAGATAATCCATCCACCTCACAGGTGTGGCATATCAAGATGCTGATCAGACAGCATGGAGATTGCACAGGTGTTCCTTAGGCTGGCCACAATAAAAGGCCACTTGAAAATAGGCAGTTCTATCACACAGCTCAATGCCACAGATGAAGCGTGCAATTGGCATGCTGACTGCAGGAATGTCACCCAGTAGTGATGGCCAAATGAAGCTTTTGTGAAGCACTGAACCACTTGAGGCAGTTGTTTCGGAAATGGGTACATTACTCGAAGCTTGAGTTACAGCGACCTCTCCTGGCGAAAAGCAAGGCTGCAGTCAAATTAATCAATGACAAACTACTTTAGTTCTGAAGCATCTTTGCTAAGATCAACCTTGGATTTTTAACTATCTTTGCTTTGAAAACTCTTTGACGCGCACACACTAAGACTGAACACGATGTTCTATTTACAAATAAAAATCGATAAGTGTATTTATTGTGTTATTGAAGAGAGTTCTGGGAAAATATGGCATAGGTTGGATGTGCTTGTGTAACAATGGCAGGGTGTGATATTTGGGATGGGGAACACTCAAAGATTTTTATTGAGGTACGTTATATTTAACAGTTTTTGGATTGAGACGGTTTCTTTCTTTGCTCTCAACCTTAGGGCTGTGGCGGCTGTGGCTCAGGAGGTAGAGCGGGTTGGCCGTTAATCGGACGGTCGGCGGTTCAATCCTTGGCTCCCCCTGGTTGCGTGTCGAAGTGTCCTTGGGCAAGATACTGAACCCCTGGCGGCTGTTCTGCCAGTATATCAATGTGTGTGACTGGTGAATGCAGATGTAGTGTAAAAGCGCTTTGAGTGGTCGAAAAGACTAGAAAGGCGCTATACAAATACGGAGCATTTACATTTAACTTGGAAGACACTCGCTCACAAGGAACAGATGATGCTGGCGAGCATAAAAATTGTTTTGCAAGATTAAACGGATGACATTTTGATGGTTTCACCAGTACGCCAGTGGGTCTTCTGATCTTTCCAGCTGTGGCATTCCTTGCCACTGCCAGGGCATGACAGCCATGGCCTTCTCACCATGTTCTTTAGAGCCCGTCTGGATGGAAGAGTGTATGTGGGATCAAGCAATGCCACAAACTCCTTGAAGCCACAGTCATCCACGATGGAAAAGGGCTGCGAGCCTTTCGGTCCACTAAGACTAATAAAGAAAGACATAAAGAAGAAAAGGATTTATGTGAAACTGCATTTAAATGAAGCAGGCCCATAGTCATATCATATTGTGTTAGTGTGTCTAGGTGATAATAATATTATAATACATAGCCTACCTTGATTTGTGTTCCCCATGGTATTTAGCAGCTCCATGCTTGGCAGTGAAGTGAAAAATCATGGAGGAAGTATTCCCATGATACATGTTGAACACACCGAGCTTTCTGTAAAGAAAGCAATTTGTAAATAAGTCTATGAAGATAGCTACTGGCTAATCATTTACATGAGTTTACTGTTATGCTACTTAATATAGACCATAGCTATTGAAGGCTACTGTACTGACAGTTACTGTTGTATAAACTTTACTTTTCCTACTTTACATATTAAACAGCCAGAACACCCATATTATCAGGAGGGATCAGATTGAAGTGTTCCCACATGTCAGAACGACCTCTCTTCCTGGCTGGTTCCATGATGATCTAATACAAACACAAAACCAACAAGTCGACAGCAATAATGCACCTTCTACGACAACTCCACAAATCGTGCATTGTTTCGAGTGGATAAGCCGTCTCCAAAGGCGTTTCAGAGAATTTGGCAGTACATCCAACCGGCCTCACAACCGCAGACCACGTGTAACCACACCAGCCCAGGACCTCCACATCCAGCATCTTCACCTCCAAGATGGTTTGAGACCGGCCACCCGGACAGCTGCTGCAACAGTCTGTTTGCATAACCAAAGAATTTCCCCCCCCCCCCGATACAGTGAAACTGCACATTTTCAAGTGTTTTATTGTGGCCAGCCAAAGGCACACCTGTGCAATCTCCATGCTGTCTGATCAGCACCTTGATATGCCACACCTGTGAGGTGGATGGATTATCTCGGCAAAGGAGAAGTGCTCACTAACACAGATTGTGACAGATTTGAGAGAAATAGGCCTTTTGTGTATATAGAGAAAGTCTTAGTTTAGTTCAGCTCATAATGAATGGTGGCAAAAACAAGTGTTGCGTTTATAATTTTGTTCAGGGTATAAATCGGGTTTTCAAGTCTGAGACTGTGGGCCTTTTTTTTTTTTTTACAGAATCTCTAAATGTTATTTACCCCTCTATTAATGTGTGAAGATCTTATTGAATATTGGTTCAGAACGAGACACTATAGTTCCTTAAAGCTTTACATAACATATTCTAAAGAGAAGCAGTCTAATTTAAAGATAATCTCGACCTTGGGTTACCTAAGAACCTCTAAAATTCTTAGTGTATTAAGTTGCTTAAAATGTTAATACCTCAAATTTGTACTTAAATGTTAATTTGCACCACAGACTTCAAGGTCATGTTTTCAGATCTATCCAGTATGAGAAACATTTGAGAACCAAATAGATGTTTAGATATTAGCTCAGACTGGGAGAAACGTTGGCGATGACTGGACTGTGGCTGATGGATCTAAGAAGCTGTTTCTGGCTCCCCTGCTTACAGTTTGTTTCTGAATGTGCACTTTTTAAAAACAAACAGCACTGCATTGTTTGGTCAGGTTGTTTGTTTAGTTTAAAATATTTTAATACAACTTTCACTTGTGCAGTAACTCACTTAACTTTGATGGCTTGTTTTGTAAACCCTACATTCCTCTAAACTTTGGTGTTTATTACATCCTTTCACAGAGAGTTTAACTTCAGAAAGCTTCAATCTAAAAGTTATGTTCATTTAGAAGTCATTTATCTGCCCTGTGGGGCAGCAATTACACCAGAAAAGAACCGTTAAACTTTTTGGCCTTAGGGTGGTGCCAGAGTTAAGCAAAATTCAGTCCAACATCATGAAAGGCTGAGGTCCTGCAGCTGAATCCTAACTGACAAAGATGCTGTACCTGAATTTTAGAAATGTTTAAAATAAAGTGGAAACTCCTCAAAATGGCTCCTTAGTGTCTTTGACGACAGGCTGTTCAGGATCAATCACAGGAAAGTAAGACAAAACAGACAAACCACAAATATTAACAGTAAACAAATTTATTTTGTCATCTGCATTTACAGCTGGAATTCTGGGAATTCAAACACGACGTCTTTGCCTGTGAGCTTCTTGTAGACACCAGAGAAGGTTTCAACCTGGGAGACAACAGGAAATACGTGTTAACAGCAGCAACAGTTACATCCACACATTCACTGATGTCATTAGAAACTAAACATTTTCACATTTGAAAATCTCCTGTTTTTACAGTTAATGATTAATTTAAGCACAAATGTTAAATGCCACACTAACAGTTACCTGCACCCAGTGGCCACTTTGAGTCCATCTGTACAATATAATGAAATCCAACTGTTCTGTCTCAACATCTTAGCTCAATCAATTCTTGACACTGTAAATCTAAGTACGTGTAGGTTTATCACTGAGGTCAGTGAAGTGTGTTGTACATAAATGGAAAGTGCAACATATTTTAAACCTCTGAATATAATGCATTACACCACAAACAACCTCAATGCTAAACATTTAATCAACTTTGAGCAAAAAAAATGCAGATATAAGTTTGAGTTTGTGCACTGCATGGTTTAGCTCCCCAGTAACGGCCCCAAGGGACTCTGGGAAGATCTAGGAATATGCAGGACGCCCGTCCTCACCGACCAGCGGCCGGGGACAGAGCTTTTTCTCCGACGTTGTGGAACGGGATTGTACGTCTCAGCTCAAAAGCTACGCTCCCATACGCCACCAGGACAGAGCCAGGAATTTGCTGGATGTCCACATCGGAGTTTAATTTGGTTGATCCAAGCTTGATGTTTAACATTTGAACACAAGAATTTAAGAACATGACTGAGTGCATATTCAAAACCCTTATGATCATGGTTAGAGCTGCAACGAATGGTCAATCGAAAAGTCTGCAACTCTTATGATAAATCTGTCATTTTTCAAGCAAAATGCCAAATACTTGATTGTTATATTTTCAAATTCGCTGCTTTTCTTGATCTTGCTTTAGAGTGAACTGAACATTTTTGGGGTTTCGGTGTGTTTGTCAGACAAAACATCACTTTGGGCTGTTGAAGATTGAATTGCATTTCCCCACAATTTTCTGGTATTTTACAGACTGAATAAGTAATTTATTAATGGAGCAAATAGTTGCAGGCCTAATCACGTTAATTGAACGCCTGGAGATGTCCATCACACCCGTTTCCTTTAACTTACTTTGTGTTCCACGTTGTTCTGCTGGGCCTTGTCCAGGTGGACCTTGATGAGCCTGCTGCTGTCCAGTTTGACTCTGATCCTCTTACCCACGATCTCGCTGGGGAACACCAGGTCCTCTAAGATGGCGTCATGGACCGCGGTCAGCGTACGGCTGGAGTGGGAGCCACCAAAGAAACCACATTAATACCAGACATTCACACCGGTTGAACAATATGCTCAGGGGGTCTGTGCTTGCATGACTACAATTATTAATGGATAAGTTGATAAAAAGGAAACTAATCTGCAAATATCATGAATCAGTCATTGGTCAGGATAACCATGCAAAATATTCTGTGGTTCTATCTTCTAAAACATAAGAATTTGCTGCTTTTCAGAGTGTTAAATGAAATGTGTGAGTTTTGGACTGTTGGTCAGGACAGAAGAATACGTCACTTTAGGATTTTGGCAATTGTGATGTCTATAAAACCTCTTAAAGTTTAGATGAATTCCCCACAATTACAACAAAATTAATGCAGGTTTGACTCATTTTGCTGCAACGATCTGATGTTCATTGCAGCATGTTTTTCATGTTGCGGGTAAAGTTTGAACTGCGGTTACAAACTCATAATAAATCTTAAATTATAAACAGAGTTTGTGCACTGCATGGTTTAGCTCCCCAGTAACGGCCCCAAGGGACTCTGGGAAGATCTAGGAATATGCAGGACGCCCGTCCTCACCGACCAGCGGCCGGGGACAGAGCTTCTTCTCCGACGTTGTGGAACGGGATTGTACGTCTCAGCTCAAAAGCTACGCTCCCATACGCCACCAGGACAGAGCCAGGAACTTGCTGGATGTCCACATCAGATAAAAACTGGGCTTTTACTTCAGAAGATCAACACCACGGTCTACGCTTTTTGTCAACCGACTTAGTTTGTCAATTTTAAGGAAACCCTTTTCCCCAAATACTAAAACCTTCAGACTGCAGTAACAGCCCTTCACAGCGTTTCTATGATCCATATTTTACTGAGACTTTTCAAAAAAAAAAAAACACACTATAAATGTCTGACAGATAGGAGTGTGTGATATTGACAAATCAAATCTATTTTTGACCGAATGCCCATGTGGTTGTTTTCAGAACTGGACCGATTACTTTATCAAATGAAAATAATCTGCAACTAATTTAAGAACACACTTAAAAAGTAAAACTACTAAATATTTTCTGGTTGCAGCTTGTTAAATTGTAAGATTTGCTGCTTCTCTTTATCTCGCAATCAACTGATGTTCAACTCAAGAAAGTTAGAGACTTGACCTTGTGGTTTAGGAAATTGGACGGGACATTTTGCAGTATTCTGAAAATGTTCAGGAGATTAAATCGATAATGAAAACCACAATTAGTTGCAGCTTAAACTTTTCTTTGAGGCTGATTTGTGCTTTAAGATTTTACACAAAGAAATGTAAGAATCTATGAAGCGTGGACATGTAGTCGCTCTTCATTAGGGGTGGCATCACAGACAGTGAATTAAATTCCTAACAAATCAAAAGCCATTTTATGCACTGATGCAAAATACTGTAAAATCTCATTACTAGGGCTACAACGGACTGTTGCTGTCTATTTATCTGCTGACTATGTTCTTTAACAATCAATTTGTCTGGTCCATAAAATGTCAGAAAAAAAACAAAAAAAAAAACTAGTAATGTCCCTTACAATATCCCAGAGCTCAAGTGCACATATATTTAATGTATACACACTCAAATCTGCATGTATGTCTTTATTTAAATGAGTCATTTAAGCCATACAGGAGTCCAAAACCTCAAACAAATCTTCAGTTTTCCCACAAAGAGGATTTGAGCAAATATTTACATTTGGGAAAATGGTACCTTTACAGTGGTTCCTAAATTTCTTTCACCGAGTTATACTACAGCCGTAACAAGTCAGTAGAAAAGAAAACCAAATCTATAAATAAATTATATTATGCTAACAAGAATAAATCCCAACCTGTGTGACAGTTTCTACTCACCTCCTGGGGCGCTTCTGCTTATTCTTTGTGCGGCTTTTCCTGGTGGGTTTGGGCAGAATTCTCCTCTGAAAACCACCAACATCGTCCGATTAATCTCCAGGATTCACAAATATTAACAGTTTAAAACTCAAATAATTCAAGAAAAAAAGGACCAGATGAATCAGGGTCAGACTGATATTCTGGATATAACATGCAGATATGTTCCTGCTTGTTTTACTCGACAGCTTAAGGGTCAAAAACTAGCCTCTGGCAAAAATATGTCTTTAGGAAGTTTATGCCCAACAGTGTCGGACCCTTTTGTTATAAATGGGACATAAAAATGAGCAACTTTCAAACTTATGAACACCAATAAAACATCCACATCTGATTTTAAAGACCCATATCAGTCGGCCCTGATTTCAAATGATGTGCACTGCATGGTTTAGCTCCCCAGTAACGGCCCCAGGGGACTCTGGGAAGATCTAGGAATATGCAGGACGCCCGTCCTCACCGACCAGCGGCCGGGGACAGAGCTTTTTCTCCGACGTTGTGGAACGGGATTGTACGTCTCAGCTCAAAAGCTACGCTCCCATACGCCACCAGGACAGAGCCAGGAACTTGCTGGATGTCCACATCGGATAAAACAGTCAAGACACAAAAGACAGACTCATCCCCCTTCATCTGTCTTCCACCCTGCTAATCACAGTCGACCTGGGGAAACACTGCATTGCTGTCATCCTGTTAAGATGCTCTTTAAATTTAATATTGTTGGATTCCTATATCTTATTTCATTGGCCAATTTAAAAGTTCAATATTTGCATGATGTTTGCAAACTAATTGCCATAAATAAATCAAATTTAACTGCATCATGTGGCAAAAATCCCTGAATCTTTAAAGTCCCTTTTATTAAAAAAGCTTGGTGAAAATGCATTTGGGATAAAAAAAAAAATTCAGCACAAGAGGTAGAAATGACTACATTTGAAAATGCAGCATATTTTACCTTTAAGTTGTGAACCTGTCGTAAACACCGGAGGAGAGCTCCACTACAGCCGCAGCCCTCACTCTAAATATACAAAGATGAAATGTCCCTATTCCCCTCCTGTAGTCCCCACAGAACAACCTCAGGAAGGTTATTAGAACACGTCAAGACCCTCCCACAAACTGTAGTGCCCGTCCAGGTTTGCTGAGCTGAGGCAGACATCACCATCATTCTCACCTGTGCAATGAAGACAACGTGCTTTCCGCTGAACTTCTTCTCCAGCTCCCTGACCAGTCGCACCTGAATCTTCTGGAAGGACTTCAGCTGAGGAACGGGAACAAAGATGATGATGGCTTTCCTGCTGCCACCAACTTCAATTTCCTAAAATCACACAAAACAAGATGGATTAATATTAAACATCCCTCCTTATTTACAAACAAGGCATATGCTGGCAAACGTTTGTCTGCTTAAGTCATGTAAAGTGCAAAATTATGTGCACTGCATGGTTTAGCTCCCCAGTAACGGCCCCTAGGGACTCTGGGAAGATCTAGGAATATGCAGGACGCCCGTCCTCACCGACCAGCGGCCGGGGACAGAGCTTTTTCTCCGACGTTGTGGAACGGGATTGTACGTCTCAGCTCAAAAGCTACGCTCCCATACGCCACCAGGACAGAGCCAGGAACTTGCTGGATGTCCACATCGGATCAGATTATCATTGCAACCTTTTCATCTAAAAGTAGCTCATCATACCAGGTTTGAAAAAGAATGCAACAATGAGTGTGGCTGAGAATGATCTCTTGAGCTCTTTAAGAACTTTACTATGATGTAAAAAGAAGAAATGCTTCAGCAATAAAAGACTCATAAGCTTCATACCTTTGCTGCAGTGATGTTCAGCTCTCTCAGCTGAGCCTTCAGGTCAGAGTTCATCTCCAGCTCGAGCAGAGCCTGCAGGGAGACAAGTAACAACTGTGTGGAATATCTGTATTTTTACACAACACCCACATGTCCACGTGCTGCAATAGCTTATCAAATTAGATTGAAGTGGTTTCTATTCAGCCTACATGCTACAGGGTAGAAACTCATTCCCTCTCAGGCTCCATCCACATTACGTTTGATTTAAAACCCCGACCTTTTGCTAGGCTGACATGGCAAATCCGAAAACCTAAAATGAGGAAGTTTTAAAACTTTAAACAAAAAAACAAATTTTGATATACAACTAAATGCTGGTGTGAAGGAGTTTTAAAACTCAAACTTTAGAAACAAGTTTTGTATTTACCCAATTGATGCTGCTCTTACTAGTACCTATTGTCATTCACAGATCTTACTTTATTGATGTTTTATTTGTGTTTGTTACTCAAATGTCTGTCAGATGAGTAAATGTATTCAGGAATTTTACAAACCATGATATGAATTCTGACTTTTACAGTGATTCATCATAAATTCTCACTGTACCACAGTAGAAGTGATCATTTCATGAGCTGCCACACAGTAGATACAGCTTCACAAAAAAATAATAAAGTTAGCAAGGCAACCTGGTCCTCTTACCTGAGAGATCCCAGACTCAAACTCATCTGGCTTTTCGCCATTAGGCTTCACTATTTTGGCGCTGGTACTGAACATGGCCTGTGTCTCTGCGAAGAGAAAGAGACATGCGGGTTATGAACACAGATATCTTGACATCCAAGAAAACACTTGACATGAATCCTTGAGGAGCTGCTTTCAAACCAGCATGTACCGCGGTTTGCTAAATGCTAACTGGGAAGAGCAGGCTAACCCACAAGGACAGCCGATGTAGGAAGCAGTGTAAGATAAATCTCACAAATAACGTTACACAGCCACAGAAGAACAAAAGACCTTTAAAACAAACGGCAGGTTATAAGATAAGAAATTAGAGCTAACTTTAGTTAGAATTAACTACCGTTAGCTAGCTAACTAACTTAGCCGGCTGTCATTTCTCTCTGCTACAATTTAGCTAGACACTTTAATGTGGCACACAGCAGTAATTAGGTTTAATTTCACATAACACTACTCACTCAGAGCTTCATGTATTCAGTTTACTACTGTCTCTGCTGTAGCTGCTGTCTGAACACATGCACGGCCTGCTAACTGCTCCCCGTTCACCGGAGCATCTACCACTACTACACTTTATTTTGAGATATAAAACAGCCATCCGTCCCCGCAAACCACATAATCTAAGGTATCACAGACTTAAGTTGCTTTGCAGCGGGCAAACGCAAATATTAAACAACATTAAGACGCATTTTGGAACAAAAACCCCAGACCAGGGAAAAATAGCACGACTAACCTCTGTCAACGACGGCCAAGGAAGAGGCCGGATCATCGCGAGAGTTGTATTAATCCAACGCGGGAGACCTCTGTTGTTGTCGCGAGAGTTGTTGGAGTCCACGCTTGGAGCGATTAGAAACCATCGCGAGAGTTCAGTGAGAACACAAAACGGTGTGAACTGTTGGAGCATGTCAACATTATTTTGAGTTTCTTAGTTGCGGCATATATTTTAACATAAACGCTTAATTCCGGACTCAGAAGACGACATCATCAGGAGGTTAAACGGTTGTCAGATTTATTAGGAATACTTTGAGGCGTTTATGTTTCTGTTCAGAGCAATAAACTAGCTAAATTTAGCTTATAACGGTGCTAACTTAGCTTGTTTTGGCATCCTTTACTGGCTGCGCTGCTGAATTTGCGGTTTTATAGCCAAACACACATTGACCAGTCAGATTTAATGATATGTTACTGTGCTTTAGTTGACACCAAGATGTTAGGCACTTCCGTTTCTCTGCAGCCCCGTGGCAGACAGTGATGTTTAGGCTGACTGGTCTTTTCAGAGCAGCACGCAGGACCGTCTGCAGCGCCGCCGACGACATGGCGAAGGGCAAGTTTTTCTACGCAGTAAAGAAAGGATTCAAACCAGGAGTCTACAGTTCATGGTGAGACTGTGTTCATCTTTATGTCAGCACCTCTGTTTCTAAATGCATGTGTTCGTTGATTAGGTACGTACCAAATTCAATTAAAATATCTGCCGGTTTAATGTTAACTTGATCTTCTGCAAAGCAACGCACAACTTTAAAAGATCATTTCAAAGTGTTTTTTAATCACAACAATCCACTCTTCAATTCGGCTTAGAAGAAATACACGAGCAACCACTAACATTAATGATAATTCATAAACACACACCCAGTGGTGGGCGGTGCTGAGCTGCAGAGGTGGAACACTTCCACAAGTCTTAGCACTCAAGTCTCAAATCAAGACTAGCAGGTATCACGTCTTAAACTTTGAGTTTTGAGTCCTAAATGTGCTCTTAACCAAATTTAATACTGTTTCATGTTTTTAGCAAGAGTTAAAATTAAGAAAACTTTATTGAATCAAGTTTTAACCTGTACTGAAAAAAGGCAGAGGCTCACTTGCACACAACAAATGTCCTATAATTTAATGAAAAAAATCAAATTCAATATTACTTTGGTCAGTATTGAGATCACGTCCCCAAAATTGTAATTGAGATTATATTTGGCCTTGGGGAGGGTATCAAGTCAGTTCAAGTCAAAAGGCTCAAGTCACGAGTCATTGGTGTGGAAGTGAAAGTCGAGTTGCAAGTCTTGACCTCGTGTGTTGTTTGTGCAACATATTTGACGCTGTGCCAAAGGCATCAAAACACCCTGATGTGTACAAAGTGCTCAGATTACAAGATTATTCGGTTAACAAGGACATGTATAATTTGTATTTGAGAATAGCTGTACCAAACAAATATAATGTTAAAAAATGATGTGCTGAATAAAGAGTTTTAAAGGAGTGGATCTGTGTATTTTATGACATGACTTTGATCACATCCCAGCATCTGCATTAATCAAAAATAGTGCTATTCAGTTAAGTTTTGCATGTGAAGAAGTAAAATTTCCTGTTAAGGTTTCTTGTACATATTGTTGATTATCTGTTTTTTTTTTTTTTTTTTTTTTACTGTAATTTAGGGATGAATGTAAGAGCCAGGTGGACAAATTTCCATCCGCTTCTTTCAAGAAGTTTGCTTCAGAGAAAGATGCTTGGGCGTTCTTCAGAGGAGTCGAACCTTCTGCTGTTCCTGAGGTGAAGAAAGGTGAGCTGATCCAGATCAAGGTGATCAGTCCTTGAGGAGGGGCTGATCTGAGAACACCCAGTCATTAAAAGACACTTGACTCAGCCACTCGTAGCCCTGATCCAGGACCGTGTGCTACATATCACGATCCTGGATGGATGTTTTGTGTTACTTGTGCTAATTTATACCCAGATTTGAACAGATTTTACGAGCGTTTCTGTGACTGACATCCGAGTTCTGGGAGATGGGGCCTTGATATGTAGTACACGGCTCTGGATCAGGGCTACACACCTCCATACAATTCACTAAAATAAGACGGGTAGAAACTAACTCTAAAATGACATTTTACAAACCATTTCTTTCAAATAAACTGTTTTTGGCTTTCAGTGACTCAGGTTGAGGAGCCAGCAGTCACTCTGCTTCCCAAAAGGGGCCCAGAGCCTCTGGAGTACATCCCTCTTGGTAAGAAGAGATGTCACTCAGAGGAGGAGGCGGAGTCTCATCCCAAACGAGTTAAACCGTCGGAAAGCTTGTCTTCGGAAAGCACAGATGGATTCACATACATGGGTAAGATGGTCAAATGTCTGTGGAAATTGGATAAGTGGGGGGGGGGAAATAAAAAATAAAATAAATAAAAAAATATATAAAATAAATAAATATAATTTTTTAATTAAAAACATTGGGAGGAAAATAAACACACTGTACTCTGTAAAAGTCCAAGTAGAGAAAATGGAAACAGTGAATAAAACTTGACCTCCAGCAGGCTCTTGAGTGTCACCTCAGGGTCACTCAGAGCTGTTCTCCCTGCGCCCAGGTGATGCTGTGGTCGTTTACACCGACGGTTGCTGCTCTGCCAATGGACAGAAGGGCGCCCGAGCCGGCATCGGCGTGTACTGGGGCCACAACCACCCACTGTGAGAAAACACAAACACACTTGTAGACAGACAACTTTAGACTGTAAATTAATTTCATCATGCACATGTTCAAAAGCTTTACAATTAAAAATGAAATCAATAAATCCATTAATTTCTCTTTTCCTGCAGGAATGTTGCTGAGCGGCTGCACGGAAGACAAACCAACCAGCGTGCAGAATTACAGGTGAGCGAAGTGCTTCAGTGTTAACTAAAAAAGCAAGTATTATTTTACACGACAAATGTATTCTTATTCAAATTGAGTAAGCCCTTAATCCTATTCGTTACACATGAGCTGAAATACAGGTTAGACAGGCTGTCTGCAGGTCTATCGTTGTTCCAAATACTGTCAATTTTACAAATAAAACATTAATAATCACATTACTGTAATAAATTTCCCTTCGTATTAATCCTTAAAGTAAAATTTTTTTATCATGACCGGCTGCACTCATGTGTTAAAAGGGCGTGTCCGCTTTACACTAAACTGACCTGCAGAGAGAAACATCCATGCACTTTAACTGCATGTGTGAAGCGCTGAACAAAGACAAAGTAATGTTTAGATGACAAATGTTATTTGTTCTAAAGGAAAAATGTCACAAATGAAACATTTAAAAAGCTTTACGTTTGTGTGTTGGACATTTAATTGGCCTCTAAGGTCTTACAAAGGTCTGCAGTTACTATAAATATATTTTAAAAAGTACAGCATGTACAGAATATTTGGATTAACTGCCTTCACTGCGTGTTTGTGTTTGAACCAGGCAGCCTGCAAAGCGCTGGAACAAGCCAAAGAGATGAACATAAAAAAGTTGGTACTCTACACTGACAGCAAGTTCACCATCAATGGTGAGTCTCAAAGCAAAAGTCAGGCTTTTTTAATTCAACATGTGACAGGTCCAGGTTTTGAATGTCAGGAGTCCTTGGTGATCTGGGTGTGAAGTCTGTGCTGTGTTTGCGGCAGGTGTGACCAGCTGGGTGAAGAACTGGAAGCTGAATGGTTGGAGGCTGAAATCTGGAGGTGAGATCACCAACAAAGACGACTTTGTGATGCTGGACAGACTGAATGCTGAGCTGGAGGTGGTCTGGGTAAATATAAATACAGACGAGTCACTTCACTCTGAACCCAGTTCCCTTTGATTTCTTATAAGCCGGATCTCTTTTCAAGGAACTAAAAGGTTCCTTCAGCCCACTGTTGTGTGCGTTTGCACGGTGGTCTAAAGACCTGCAAAGATTAGGCAAATTAACCAGCTGACATTTACTGCCTACAAAGCGATGCACACGCATCATTATTTATAACCACTATCCATGAGCAAAATTTATCAATGAACATCAGATATGATTGGAATATAATGAAAGCAACACACTAAGAACATCGCGATAGTTTGGAAGGTTATTACATTTCCAGCCGACAAGATCTGCAGACCAGCTGGCCAGACTCGTGTCTGTGTTGCCTGAGCGTCGGAGGAACAGGATTTTTAACGCGCTTTATTACCTGCTGTAATCAGCTGTTCTGCTTGTTTTGGAGAGGAGGAGACTGACTTCGGCTCTGTGCAAAAACTTCCTGATTGATGAAAACCCAGTATTTGCCTTAACTCCATCAGCTGTTCGCTGTAAACACACCGCTGCACGCTGGCTGCTGTTTCCGAGCAATACATTTAATGCCGACGTACGATCTCAGGCGGACATCGTCGAGACTTGTTGTGTGGCTATTTGACTGTTGATTGTGATTTATTGGTTTGGAAACAACGGTGGATAAGAGAGGAGCAGTTATAGAAAAACACCTGACATTCTCCAGTTAAAGCCAGTAGCCTCTACTCACCCATTCAGAGTTTCACTACAAGGCCCCGCTCCCCCCCTCAAAGTACCAGTACTTTCAGAAAGTACTACCCCCCTGAGCAGGGACTTTTTGGGGGGTAAAATAAAGACCCTGGAACTAAATTTGGACCCTGGTCCCTCCGGTTGAAAAACACTCCAAAGGTTCCTAGTTCTATGTATAGTTACTTTGGTCGAAACGCAGCTATAGAGAACTAATTCATTCAACACACTGAAGAGTTGTAAAATACTTTCTTTATTTAATGATTTAGACCTGATTAGGCTTAACTTTAGCATTACACTGCCCTTACTGGGTGAATAAATATAAATTTTCTCCTCCTAAAATATAAGAAAAATAAATATATCTCCTCTTGAAAATATAAGAAAAATGCACACTAACCTGAAAACAGTCAAACGTAACAATGTTTTAAATTAATATTGCACCAATAACGACATTTAGGAGCCAAAGATTGGCACTGTTGGAACCGTATCTGTGATGGGATTAATCACAATGTAAGAGTATAGTGTTATTTCACTCCTACAAGGAAAAAGCTTGTTATAAGCCTTACAGGCAGCTGATTCTGTGCTGCTTGTCGTCCATCAGGTATCCGTACGGTACTTTTTGTAGTCTAGTGCCATCTGCTGTGAGGCAGCGACTTAACTGCCATGAAAAGTCACACAAACACTGAGAATGATGACCACAAGGGGTGCTGGAGGCACACTACATTCAGATATATACATTTTCTTTTTTACCTGGTGAAGGTTTAAAATAAAAAAAACAATGGTTGCACATTCTGCCCTGAAAAGATTTAGTCCTTTTTTGTTTTCTTTTTCATGTGTTACGCATGCTCCTTTATACAGAATATGAAACTTTACGCTTAATGATGGTGGACAGCACTCATAAAGTACGAGACGGTGAAGTAGAAGATATGTGGCGTGCCCTCGGAGAGGAAATGGGCCAAGTCCGTTCATGTTATGTGTGAAGAAAGATTCAAGACTGTAAGGAATAAAATTAACATAATGCAGCACCATTTTCATCACATTTGAGCTTAATTACCCTAAACAGTGGACTTCAGCTGGCTCGAGGTAATGATTTTTTTTTCAGGCGCTTCTCTGTTTTTAAGTACGAAGTCAGATATATTGGTGCCTTGGGAGAAATAATAAGAAAGTCTCCTTATTTTACACTAGGACTTGAATATTGAACTTGAATCAGAAACCTGTAACCTTTTTTCTTTTTTCTTTCGCCTGCTCTTCCTCATCTGCCTCCAGATGCATATTCCCGGTCACGCCGGCTACAGAGGCAACGAGGAGGCCGACAGACTGTCGAGGGAAGGAGCAGCGAAGCCTTTATAGCAGCAGCATGAAGGAAAAGGGACTATTACAGTTGAGAGATCTGCTGCAGGACTGTTCACTCTGGTTTGTCAGCCAGTCGGCTGCTTTGATACAGAGGTTTGTTTTTCTCTCAACAGCGCTTGTGACTGAACCGAAACTCGGTCGGAGGAGTCTTTGTGTTTGTCGGTTTTTATGTGAAATGTTTATTTTAATTTTGTGTTTCCCGCTCTAAATAAAGTTATAAGTTTCTGGTTTAACTGCCTGTTATGTATTTTGTGATGCAGCATGAAATCAGTCGGTCAGTATGAAGTTTCTTCTAAGGATTTTGTTTTTAGGGAGGTGTGGGGTGTTTCAGAAAAGGAGAGAAGGAGATGAAGATGGAGGAGAGTAATGATGAGGGAGTGAGTGAAGGTGGTGAAACGGATGAAGAAAGCAGTAATGAGGGAGAGTAAGGAGGTGAGCAGGAAGGGTGAGTGAGAAATATGAAGGAGGAAGTGCACAAGGAGATTAGAAGTCTGGAGCAGTCTGGGAATGAAGGGAGTGTGGTGTGGGGGGAGAAGGAGAATAGATGTTATTTTGATTACTAATTATGGAGAAATCATTCAGTGTAGGTGTAATACGGTCTATCGTCCAGCGGGAGGAGCTCCAAGTTGTGAGAGCCCAGACAGAGCAAAGAAGCACAGAGGATTCAGGGTTTCAGCTTGACATATTTGTCATTGCTTCGTATATCATTGCTTTGGGAATATTGTTTTAAAACTACATTTAAATAAAGTTAAGTACAGCGAAACTCAATTGAGAGAGAAAGAGTCCAAATTTCAAAATTAAACTGGGAGGTGTGCAATCCATGTTTGAGTAAAGTCCAATGTAAACCTGTCAATATAATTACATTAAACTAGATTGATCTTAAGGCTGAAGCTGTCTGTATTGATTGTTTATACAGGTATACGTTTATTGATTATTGTTTGCGTGATAGAGCTTGAAATGGCCGTATTTCAGTCCGAAACATTCTCATTGTAAATGACTATTATAGAGAAAAACTGTTGAATTTGACACTTCAAAGCCTCCTATCATCTCAGACTGGTTAAACCACCTGGTGGAAACAGAGTGAACATTTAATTTACTGTATTAGGATCCCCTTTAGCATCATCAAACGGAGGCTGTTCTTTCGGGGAGCCAATCTCACACCACATTAACAGATAAAAGGAAATCATATTGCAACGCACACAAGAAATTAACACAACAAAAAGCTCCAAAAATGAAACACTTTACAGGTAAGTAATATAACATTTCTAAGTACCTCATATGCCACTAAACAGGTGCAACATTACCATTTAGCATTAAATAACCAAAAAGTACAAGACAAGGGCGACTGGAGATGTTGTTTAAAGAGTAGTTTAAATAAAAGACACTTTCTTGTTTCGGATACAGTAGTTTTCTAGAACAGCTACTGGTGCAGAATAGCATAATTTCTAAAGGAACAATCTGAGACTTTCTGCACTGTGGGTCATATGTTTCACATGTTTATTTAATCCTACTGGATCTTCAACAGGCAAAGAGCTACCAGGACATGGAATAATGGGACAAAATCAACCACAACAAGCCCTGACAAATCGGCTACACAGTTGCTTATTCACACATCCAACAGACACGGAGCCATATAGAGTCATGTTTGTGTCTTCCTAAGTCCAACTCTGGTTTTGGCTCCACCAAAAAAAAATATATGTTCCACTTTCCTCACCAGCTAGTCTCTAACTGTGTCTGTGTGCTGTTTGGTGCTGGGCAGGGAGTGTACAGTGGGTTTATAAGCTTGCTGCTGGAAACAAGGCTAATGAGAGCCCTGAGACTGAACCAAAACAGCAAATCTGCAAGTTTAAAAGGGTTAAAAAAAAAGCTGCATAGCACTGTAGAGTTGTTGATAATTCTCCGTGGATTCAGATTTTCAAGCAACATCTTTCACATTACAGCTTGGTCCATTGATCCATTGATCAAATGTCTGAATAATAAACTTTAAAACCGTGCCTGATTCACCTCTAGCTCCATCTGTCCACATTCTACCTTTTTACAACCTGACACAACTTTTGTTTTAAAAGATGATGCAGCGCATGTGAGTGAAATGTGGGTTCCTCCTGTTCCTCCTTTTTCTCTCTCTCCTCTCATCTTCTTCCTCACCTCCTTGTCTCCTTCCTCCTCTCTTCATGTCAGTTTTACCCCTCCCATCTTCCTCACCTCCTTGTCTCCTTCTCTTCTCGTCGGCGGTGGAAAGAAGCAAAGTATATTTACTCCATTACTGTACATTAGTTAAATATTTAGGTACTTGAGTATTTGTATTCTACTTTCTGCTCCTTCTTCACTCATTGCAAATATTGTACTTTATACACCACTTAATTTACTTTGCAGTGATATATACGTTACTTTGTAATATTAGATATATACTGTACATAGCAGTAGTATTAAGTATAATACAACTGAGCAATTGACTACTTTTGATACTTTAAGTACATCTTTCTGACAGTACTTTTGCACTTTTTGTGAGTAAGCTTTTGAGTGCAGAACTTGTAATTGTATTTTTACATTGTTAGTATTGATACTTTTACTTTGGTAAAGTATCTGAGTATTTAATTCCACCACTTCTTCTCGTCTCCTTCCCTCCGGCAGACCTACTGTACGTGTTCTTAAAAAATTATTTGTTTCTGCTGATGGAAACGGAGAGAAAGAGAAATTAGAGACTCACCCCTCCTCCCTCACTCCCTTCCTCCTCCTCCTCTTCCTCCTCCTCCGTCCTCCTGCGGCCAGTCGATTGGTCGGTGTCGATGTTGGAAACAGCAGGACGGAGGCTCGAGGTTCCTCACTCTGACCTGGACCGCTGCCTTGCGGCGAGCGTGGTGTGCCATGACCCCGCTAGAGGCAACCCAGTCTGAGAATGAGCGCCTCTTGGAGGTCAAAGGTCACCTCGCAGCAGCTTCACCTCCTCGCTGGCTGAGCCTCGTTAGCACTCCTCCTCAACACACACACATGCTCCTCAGCAGACGGAGCTCTGGCATTGGTCCACCACTGCCCTGCTGGAGGGGAACAAGACCGCGCAAACTGTAAAGAAACTTAACAAACCAGACATTAGAAGCATCCTGCTCACACTTCAGTAAGAGGTTTTGTCAATCTTTAGACCAACAGTGTCTAAAATAAACCAGAATGTTCTGCTGGGGTTGAAGAACTCTCTGACACCACAAACCGTCTGACACTGAGCGGGGGATGTTCGTTAAGTGCTCGCTGTTCTGATGGGGAAGAAGAACGAAAACTTCATGTAGACGTTCAGCCGCCTGACAGAAAATAAGCCCAGACTCTGTTGGTGTTGTAGCAGAGTCGAAGTTGAGTCCCACAAAGTTAGAGATTGCATCATGGTCTTGTTTGGTCACGGAGGTCATATCTTGGCGGCCCTGCCACGGTCATGTCCAGAGTGATGACCCTAACCGAGGTCATGTCCAAGTAACTGAGGTCATGGCCGAATCGGTGAAGTCGTGCCTGAGTCCCTCAGGTTATGTCAGACTAGCCGAGCTTGTGTACAAATTGTCGAGGTCCGTTGCCAAGGCCACATTCAAGTTAAATAATAACTTAACACCCCCTGAAAATCTTGTTTTTGTTGACCTCCAGGTGGTTAACTTCTCACCTTGCTGTGGTGATGTACAGGTGTACTCCACGACCCTGTGACATCACTGTTGGGTGGGATTACAAGAAACAAAGCACATTTCTGATCCCACCCAAGAGGCTTTAAACTTTCAACCGCATGTTACTGAGCTTTAATAATTAAGTTGCTGAGATCGTGTCTGGAGTTGGTGATGTCATGTTTGAGATGCTGAAGTCATGTCTGTACCGTTGAGTTCATGTCATAGTTGCTGTGCCCGAACCTTTGAGTTAATATCTAAGTTGCCGAGGTCACGTCTGATTCACTCAGGTCATCTTCGCATCAAATTGTGTAAGGTCATCTCAGAGGTCACCATAAACTCTCGGAGGCCACCTCCGAGTCTCTTAGGTTGCATTAAAGTCTGTAAGGTCATCTCCGAGTCTCTTAGGTCACATCAAATTCTTTAAGGCCATCTTAGGGTCTCTGAGGTCATGTCAAATTCTGTAAGGCCATGTCAAAGTCTCTGAGGCTATCTCCGAGTCTCTTAGGTCGCATTAAAGTCTGTAAGGTCATCTCTGAGTCTCTGAGGTCATGTCAAATTCTGTAAGGCCATGTCAAAGTCTCTGAGGCTATCTCCGAGTCTCTTAGGTCGCATAAAAGTCTGTAAGGCCATTTTAGGATCTCTGAGGTCACATCAAAGTCTCTGAGGCCATCTCAGAGTCTCTTAGGTCGCATTAAAGTCTGTAAGGTCATCTCTGAGTCTCTGAGGCCATGTCAAAGTTTCTGAGGCCATCTCCGAGTCTCTTAGGTCGCATCAAATTCTTTAAGGCCATCTTAGGGTCTCTTAGGTCGCATCAAATTCTCTGAGGCCGTGTCAAAGTTTCTGAGGCTATCTCCGAGTCTCTTAGGTCACATCAAATTCTGTAAGGCCATCTTAGGATCTCTTAGGTAGCATCAAATTCTCTGAGGCCATCTCAGAGTCTCTTAGGTGGGTTGCTTATTTTAATTATCAGAGAAGATCTGTCATTGACGACGTTCCTCTTAAACCCAGGTGCTGTTCTCCTCTGCAGCATTTATCATCAAATAATTCCTTTATCCAGTCCGGAGGCGGTGTTTACACGGGCGCTTTCTTTCTTATGCGGCATCAAGGAGAAGTATGGCTCAGCACTGCGTCAACAGAGGGATCACAGAAGGAGTCGCACTCCAAGATAGCGAGTTGAACAAAGTGGTGTCTGTTTCCATGACAGCTGTCTGCATCTGGCTCTGAAACCAGCTCCCCCACCTCCTCCGCTGCCAACATGACATTTGATATGATGAAAAAGGAAGGTTTCTTTGGAGGTTTTTGTGTTTTTGGTGAGGGTACTGGTTTTCTAGAGGAGGGTATTGGCTCAAAGAACTCTTTGATTTGTTAAATAAAGATTATTATTCCCATTAGGCCCTGATTTCTCACTCCAAAACCAAACACCACAGCAACTGCTTGGTTTTTACTCTCCAGCTGAAGATGTTTTAATCAGTGAAATCAGAAAGTACTAGAGGTCAGAGAGAATTTAAAAAAACCTGTCGACTCTGTGCTCATTAAGAAATCACCAGATTTATCAACATTTCAATCTCTTATTCCTACTTTCTTACTTTAATTAAGTA